TGGCCTCTGCCAGGGACTGTCACCTGCTGTCCCAACACAGGTCCCGACTCTGGCAAGGGTGGCTGTGGGAATCCAGACACATGAGTGGTCTCATGGGTGAACTTTTTAGGGGGCAAGGATGGTACTGGGAATCAAATGCAGGACCTCACACCTGCCAGGGAGGCACTGTGTCGCTGAGCCAAACCCCGGCCCCTTCCCAGTTGAACTTGCTTTGAACACAGTAGCAGTTTCAGAGTGTAGGCCCTTTCTCCATTTTGAGCATTTGGTCGAGTCAAAGCCTATGAGGCTGGGGCTGTGGCTCGGCGGCACGGGTGCCTGCAGCAAATGCAAGGTCTGGACTTCTAAGTCCCGTAACCAAAATAAAAGTGTGCTGTGTCTGACAGGCATCGTGAGGCTCTCCTTTGCACCGCCTCAGTACCAGAGCCCGGGTCACACAGGCCCAGTGTGTGTGAGCCCTGGCTCCCAGCCATCTCTGGGCAGCACAGCCTGGGGAGGGAGCAGGCACAGCTGAACTCTGCCTGGCACCACGCAGGCAGCGGGCACAGTCAGCAGCTGCTGCTGGCTCGGCGGAGTTTGATCCCGTTTCCCAGAGTGGAGCAGGGGGCTCAGAATGCTCATGTGCCTAAGGAGAGCAGAGCATGTGTTACGGGGAGGAGCTCCGGGTCCTGCTGAGCATAGACATTTCTGCTGGCAGAGAAAGCGGCACAGGAGTTGGGGCTTGGTCAGGGTCAGGGCGAGTCCCAACTGCCACATGTTAGCTGAGCGATCCTGGTACTGTCAGGTCACAATGTGTGTGTCTCTGGCCTGGGGATTGTAAGATGACAGAAAGTTCTTAGCCCAGCACCTGTGTGTGACTAAGAAGGGAGGCCAGTGTTTTAGCCACCTGTGACCTTGGCAGTCACAGGTCACGCAGGCAGGAAGATCGGATGTGACGTAGCCCGGCAGCTCTGTTCACTCTGCTGTTTGGCTTTGTGGAGGTTGAGCCCAGGGCCTTAAAAAGGAGCTCCAGTCCCGCTCTCTCCCCACCCTTTCATTATTTTGTTTTGTCTTTTTGAGACAGGGTCTCCTTGTTCGGTTCAGACTGGCCTTGAGCTCACTTTGCAGCCCAGGCTGGCCTTGAACTCGCAGCAATCCTCCTGCCTCAGCCTCCCAAGAGCTGGAATTACAGGTGTGTGCTGCCATACCCGCCCTCCCACCCTTTAAAGTTTAAGTGCAAGTGTCTAAACTGTCCAGGTTGAACTGGAATTTGCAGTCTTCCTGCTTCAACCTCCCGGAGTACTAGGATTATAGAAGTGTATGCCGCTGCAGTTTACTTTTGTACTGCTGCAGGCTTGAACCCAGGACTTCCTCTGTGCTGGGTGAGCTGAGCACTCTGCTGCAGAGCTACAGCCCCAGCCTTGATCACAAATTTGAGCCTGGCAGTGCTGTGGTGGGGCTGCAGTTCTCATCCCTCCACAGACCCGAGGGAGGGCTGGGGCTGGGGCACAGTGCAGGTGGTGGAGTGTGTGCTCGGCCTGGCCAGCCTCTGGGTTCTGTCCCCAGCACCCAGGAAGGGCTGGTGGGCAGAGCGGAGAAGTATACAGAGAGGCCGAGGCACTTGTCCAGGGCAGCCCACCAAGTGCAGAAGGGGAGAGGCTCCCGAGGGTCAGGCAGGGGGCTGCAGCGGCAGAGCCCAGGTGTCCAGCTTGGGCACCTGGGTGTGAATGACAGTGCCTGCAGAATAGATGGGGACTGAAAGAAAGGAGGATCAGAAGATGTGTCCACTGTGCAGCCCCCAGCGCGGGGACACTGTGGCTGCCTGCCATGTCCTGCCCATCCTTCCCTTCAGCCCTGGCTGGCCCCAGCAAGGTGGACACCACAGCCAGTGTGGGGTGAGGCTGGCCGGGCGGCCTTCTGGTTGGGGAAGGGGTTCAGGAAGAGACTGAGGGGTGGCCGATGGCCGCCGGCGCTGCCCAGCCGCTTCCTGAGGCTTCCCTAGGAGAGGCTACAGGAAGCCCAGCTCATCCTGGTTCCCAGGGCTCCGCATTCCTGCCGAGCCTGCTGTGGAAACCAGCTTTTCCTGCTCCTGACCGGACCTGCCTGGTCCACCACACCCAGCCCCATCAGAGTCCCTGCTGCACCTGCTCACCCCATCCTCCTCCGGGCCTGCAACCTGGGAGGGGGCCTGTCTTCCCCCATACAAGGCTGGGGACAGACGGGCTGCTCCTTCAGTGTGCCTGTGCCAATTTAAACTGGGCAGTTTGAGGCGTGTGGCTCCAGCCTCTGCCTCCTAGTCAGTCAAGCTCCTGGGCCATCTCTGTCTCCCTCCCCCTCCCTCCGTCTGTCTGTCTTTCTGTCTCTCTGTCTCTCTTTTTTCCTGGGCCTTTCTAATCTCCGAATCTGCCGCTAGGGGACTGACCCCGGTGTGGTGTTACATCTCCACAGTTGTGTCACCTGGGGCCGAGCTGCGCCCTGACCTCTGTTTCATTCAGAGGAAAAAGCATCTGGCAAGCTTCAACAGAGAATTGGCTTTCTGTTTGACAGGAAGAGCTGCCTGGCTCGCAGGATTCCCTAGAGTCAGGTAACTGGGAAGCAAGCAGGCCATTTCCTGTGTGTGACAGCCCCTTCCTTGTGGCAGAGTCCTCAGAGAGGTGGCCTTCCTGTGTCAGGAAATCTCAGGAGCTGTTTCCGCTCTTCCTGCCTTCAACTTGCAGAGGCCAGGTTGTTACTGAGGGGAAGAGGCCTCTGTGATGGACCAGAGTCCCGGGACTCCCCTAAAGCTGCAGCTGGACTGTTAGCAGGGGCCTTGCCATGGAGACCCACTCTGAGCAACAGGAGCCTGAGTCTCAGGGCTCTGAACCCTTATTTGGCACCCCAACATCAGCCAGTGGTGAGCTGGACATGGTACCTGCCTCCGCTCACAGGCGTACGCTTGAGGGTGAAGCAGGTTCTTTGTGAGGTCAGGAGCAGCAAGTTTGGGTCCCAGCGCCTTGTGGCTTTCAGCAGGCTCTGTGCCCTCTCAGCCGCACTCTTAACGGTGCAGAACACCCAGCTCAGGGCTGAGCAGCCAGCTGTGTGTAACGCATTTTACACCTGCTTGGCTGGGGTGCTAGGTGCCAAGGCCTAGCATGCGTGAGGTCCTGGTTCAGTCTTGAGCACCGCCAGGAACGGGGCCACGGTGTCTGAAGTGCAGTCGTGTCCGGGACAGTTAGCTGCCTGTCTTTTTCTGCATCTCATACCTATGGGCAAATACTACCTGCTGCTCTTCCAAACTGAACCCCACTTCCTGAAGTCTCCCTTGACACACCCCAGCGGAAAGGGATCTCGAGAGGGCCTCTATACGAGGGCAGGGGAGAGCTTGCTCAAACTGAGCCAGAAATGCTCCAGGGAGTGGGGTTCAGTTTGGAAGAGCAGCAGTGAGCGAGCCAGGAGCAGCTGGGGAGGGGGACGGCTGAGACCTCCCCATCTGAGTGCATCTGCGACCCTGAGCAAAGCCCCGGATGGGAAGTGGCCATGTTGGACATTTCATGCTCCCGGGACCATCCCAGAGACAAAGTCCGAGCACTTCCCAGCTCAGCAGTCACCCACCTGCCCAGTGACAGACAGAGCCCAGAGGGCTGAGATGGAGGACGGTCTGGGCTGGAGGTCCAGCAGCGCCGCTGGCCCGCCTGCGTTCACCAGGTGCCTTTGCCCCGACGTGTACAGACAATGCAGGAGGGCAGTCTGGACAGCGCCCATCTCAGACATAGCTGGGATTCCAGGGACCCAGACCACGTATGGGCAGCAGTGAGGGCCCCACGTGCCGTCCTGGCATGCTCGGAGCTGCCTGCCTCGCCTGCCCCAAGCTCCCACTCGCCTTCTACTGCCCAGCCCTGCTCCTGGGGCCCACAATGTGCCTATTGTGTCCTGCTCCACCACACTGTCCCCCAGGGAGCAGCTCAGAGCCAAGGCCCTGGGGTGCAGCCTAAGCGGAAGAGCAGTCAGACCCACAGAAGCAGCCGCGGCACTTGGAGAATCCCGGGCCCAGAGTCCCAGATTCCGATGCCAGAGGTGCTTAGAAATGTGCTGGCCTGCATTAGCGATCACAAATGCCGCCCGTCTGTCCAGCCAGAGGGGACAGCCTTGTGCAGTCTTACTCTCTCATCTCATTTGCTTTTTTTCATTCTAAAAGTTGTGTTGGCGCCTCGCGAGCTACCAGATTTCTCGTATTCCCAGTGATCTGCCTGTGGCCCTGGTGCTGAGTGAGCACATTTTTTCTTGCCTGCTTGGGGCTGGTTTTATTTTAAAATTAAAGCCTAGGGCCGGAGTGGGAGCTCTGGATAGAGCGTTTTCCTGGGACAAGGCCTCAAGTTCCATCCCCACCACCACAAAAAATAAAAAAGTCAAGCCTGATTTCCATCCAATGACACTAAACTAAGCAATGCTGTACTGGTATAAAAAATGTTAAAATTAAATGCTTTGTTTGGTTTCATTTTGTTTTGTCTTTTTGTCTTTTCAAGAAAGCATTTCACTATGCAGTCCAGGCTGGCCTCAAACTCAGGTAATTGTCCTGCCTCAGCCTCCCAAGTGTTGGGATTACAAAAGCATGTACCACCACACCTGGCTTTGCAATACTTCTTTTAAGCAAGTGTTTAATACTATAACCAGAAGTTTAAAAATTAGACAGTGGTAAATATGGTATGGCTCGACTTTTATATAAACACCTAAGTGGAGTCAAATTCAAATAGACAATAGCCAGCCAGACATGGTGGTACACCCTTGTAACCCTAGCAGTGGGGAGGCTGAGGCAAGAGGAGTGCTTCGAATTCAAGGTCAGTCTCGGCTGCATAGTGAGACCCTGACTCCAACCAAGCAACCTATAAGCCAAAACCCAAAAACAGCAGCATAGAACACAGAACGGTGTTCACCAGGCCTGAGGACAAGGGCTGCTGTGTCACTGGTGGCCGCACGGCAATGTGTGACAGAGCTCGTGCACTGAAACATGCCTGACCTGGGGAATTGTATGTTGTGTGTATTTTACCACGATTAAAAAATACAGCTGCGGAAGCAGTGATTCTGGCTAATTTGCTAAGTGAGAAAGCCAGACAGAGATCGCAGGCGCGTGCAAGATGCCTTTTATGTGAAATGTTCAGGACAGGTGAATCCAGGCGCTGGGCGTGGATTGGTGAGTGCCAACAGCTGGCACGGCGGGAGGCACAGAGGAGATCAGCGGTGCTGGCCAAAGGATCCAGTGTTTGGGGGACACAAATGCCCTAAAATTAAAAGCAGTGAAGGTTGCATACTCTGTGAATCCGTAGCAAACAGTGGAGCTTGTTCTTTTTTTATGAACAACAAAGGCAATATGTTTTAGGCAGTGGGCTGACCGGAATGATCTTTTTGAGTCTTGCAGTCAGGAGCCACACATTTTTCAAGTCTAAAATGTTACAATATGTGAATTACATTTCAATCCAGCTGTTATTTGAAAAAGTTGTATTTGCTGGTTGTTACAAATTTGAACCATAATTGTAAAAATGGAGTTTGCCATGGCCTCCCATCTTACTGTTGAGATTAAATGCCAAATGATGGCATTTGGACCTGTATCCTTTTCTCCTGGTGTTTAAAATTCTATGTATAGCTGGGTATGGTGGCTTATGCCAGTGATCTCAGTACCCAGAAGGCTGAGGCAGGAGGATCGCCATAAATTTTTGAGGCCAGCCTGGGCTCAGAGTGTTCAAGGCCAACCTGAATTATAGCAAGATGCTGTTTTAAAAAACAAAATGAAAATTGGGCCTGGTGGTATGAGCCTGTAATCTCAGCAGTTGGGAGGCTGAGGCAAGAGGATCATTGTAGGTTTGAGACCAACCTGGGCCACAAAGTGACGTCAAGGCCAGCCTGAACTGCATAGCAAGACTCTCTCAAAAAGACCAAAAAAAAAAAAAAAAAAGCAAACTTTCTTTGCGGCAGGTACTGGGAATCAAACTCAGGACCTTGAGCTTGCTAGGCAGGCACTGTGCTGCTAATAAAATTCTCTGTATATGTATTTAGCTACATAATTTATTTCCTTCCTTCCTTGTCTTTTTGAGACAGAATCTTGCTATGCAGTTCAAGCTGGCCTTGGGCTCACTTTGTAGCCCAGGTTGGTCTCAACTTGCAACGATCTGCCTGCCTCAGCCTCCCAAGCACTGGGGATTACAGGACTGCGCCACCATGCCATTTTAGCCACATGGTTTCTATGTATATAGTACATGTATGAGTTTTACAAAAATGGAGTCCTCCTTTCCCAAAGCTTGCTAGTTGGGGCAGCGCTGGGGACGGAACCCAGCTGCTTCACACTGAGCTGCATCCCAGCCCTATTTTTAATTTTCCGACAGGGTCTTGCTCAGTCGGGTAGGCTGGGCCCACACTTATAACCCTCCTTCCTCAGCCTCCCAGAGTGCTGTGATTGCAATGTTTTCACTTCTTTTGGGGATGCATTTCTGCTTTTATTTTTTAAGAGATGTCAGTTCACTGTAGTGCCCAGAATGACCTTGACGTTCTGGGATCTGGTGATACCACCTCTGGTCTCAGCCTGCCAAGTAACTGGGACTCCGGGCCTGTGCCACCTTGCCCGGCTTCCTATGACATGCTGTCCACAGCTGTGTGGTTTTCTGTTGTCCAGCTGTGCTGAAACCTGACTGCCCAGCCCCTTATTAAGGGACACTCAGGTCGTTTCCAGGGCTTTGCAGCTCATAAACATCTGTGTGTGTGGATCTCAGGGGTCCTGGGATAGCACTGCCAGGAGCCGGAATCCTGGAAATGAGCCTGCCCCGGGATCCTTACCTTTGTTGATGGGGACGTTGAGCCTTGGGCAGGCGGCATCTTTGTCTGGGGTCTTTCAGTGACACTGTGGCAAAGAGGCACAGTCTGAGTGAATGCGCTGGCCAGGCAGCTGTGCCTAGCGCAGGAACGCATGTGTCCCCTCAAGCTCTGAGACAGAAGGCAACATGCACCTATGAACAGGTGCGCACTGAGGGGGCCATGATGACATTCAGTGTCCCCAAACCCTCTCTCTGTCCCATGCATAGGGGTTCCTGCCCCTCTAAACCTTACCTTGAGGATCTCTGTATGAAAACAGATAAGCACCCCCGTGCGGATCAGCCAGGCATCCATTCTCACCCGTAGGTGGGGAGTCCAGCAGGAGAGCGTTTGCTTAACATGAACTTGGTCCTGGGATTGAGCCCCACTGTCCCCCGTCCCCCGTCCTCCCCCAAAAGAGAAAGGATTCAAACTCGGCATGTCGTCATGATGTCTCTCACTGGCTTGCCCTCAACTGACCTTCTTGGCCTGTCATTCAACTCCAATGTCACCATCTGGGTGGCCACCCTGTCTGTCCCCGTCTCTTCCAACACCTTTTTTCCCTTGCAGTTCTCAGGAATAAACCCAGTGCTTCACACATGCTAGGCAGGTGCTCCACCAGCGAGCTGCACCTCCAGCCTCACTGAATTAATAATTAAAAAATAAAACAGAAGCCAGGTGTGTGGCACACGCCTGCAGTCCCAGCACATGGAGGCAAAGGCAGGAAGATCAACATGAGTTTGAGGCCAGCCTACAAAACAAGACCCTCAAACAAAACAAAACAAAACAAAACAAAACAAAACAGAAAAACACTGATTAAGGGCTCAAGTCACTTGGTCCTGATCCTGAAATTGTGGCAGGATTTTGAGCAACTGTACCTTGCAATCTGCCTGCGGCTGCTGACTTCACCACTCAATACGGCCCACCTCACCCTCACCCGGAGTCAGTCTACACGACATTCCCTGTCCATGACCTCACCTGAGTGCCCACAAGCCTGGGCCTGGGCCCAGCCAAGATCATTATCTCCTCTCACAGAGGAGAAAGCCAGGGTTTGCAAGGGTGAGTCGTCTGGCCTGTGGTCGGTCACACAGCTGGTTGGTGAGGTCCTCTCTTAGTACTGTGGTGAGCTGGGTTTATAAAGCCTACAAGTAAAACCCCACACAGCGCTCACGGAAGCCCGAGGGGCAGTGCTGCGGAAGCTGGGACAGGGCCAGATCTGGAGCAGCCTTCAGGGGCCTAAAGGGAGCGCCTTAGGGCAAAGTTCTTGGGATGTTTAAAACTTTGGGGGATATAAAATATATAACATTACGGGTAGGCTGGCACTGGGGATTGAACCCAGAACCTTGTGGTGAGCTATATCTCCAGCCTTTTTTTTTTTTTTTTTTGTCTTTTTGAGACAGGGACTCTCTATGCAGTTGAGGCTGGCCTTGAGCTCACTTTGTAGCCTAGGCTGGTCTCAAACTGGCAATGATGCTCCTGCCTCAGCTTCCTGAGTGCTGGAATTATAGGCATGAGCCACCATGCCCGGCTATTATTGCTTTTTTTGAGACAAGGTCTTCTTATGCAGTTCAGGCCAGCCTTGACCTTGCTTAGGTGGCCTAGGCTGGCCTTAACTCATGGCGCTCCTCCTGCCTCAGTTTCCCAAGTGCTGAGATCACAGAAGTCATTGTTGGTTTTTTGAGACTCACTCTGTAGTTCAGGCTGGCCTTGAACTCACTATGTAGCCCAGGCTGGTTTTGAATTCACAACAATCCTCCTGCCTCAGCCTCCTGAGTACAGGGATTATAGGCATGGACCACCACACCTGGGTCCCTCCTGGGTTTTAATGAGTCCTGGGTGGCCTTTATGCATGCTGGTAACAGTATCCTGAGTTTATGGCCATGATTTAATGGCAGCACCTGGCACTAATTTTCTGGAGTTGCTTTCTGTACGACACAGCAGGAGATGGCACCCTGGGGCTGGTGAAGGGCCAAGAAGGTTGACTGGGCTTTGGGAGCCTGGAAGCCCCTTCCTAGGTGGACTGAGCACCCATCCACAATCTGGTCTAAGATGGTGACCTTCTGGCTTTGCACCTGTCCAGGGGTGTGAGGCTGGCCCCTATTGGCCAGCTGGGGTCCCTAGGCCTTGGATCATAGCTATTCTGGATTGAGGATATAGATTTTCCCCAAGTCCAGCTCGTTCCTTGATGATTTAACCCCAGACTCAGGTGATGTTGGGTACAAAAGAGTTCAACCCACGTCATCACATTTACCACTATCAAGTGTACCTGCGCTTGGAGGTAGGAGGGCCAGGTACTTTCCATCTTGATTCTCTCAGTCACCGTTTTTCTGTCCTTTTCTTTTCTCTCTCTCTCTCTCTTTTTTTTTTTTTTTTTTTGTCTTTTTCCTTTTTTATCAGTACCAGGGATTGAACTCACAACCACACACTTGCAAGGCAGGCGCGCTTATGCTGCTGAGCTAAATCCCCAGCCCCCTTTTTTTTTGTACCGGAAATCAAACTCAGGACCTTGCACTTGCCAAGCAGGCACTTATGCCACTGAGCTAAATCCTCGGCCCCTTAGCTACCTTTTATAAGGCAGGAATTATCTCTATTTTCAGAAAATTGGGACACTGAAACTCAGGGAGGCACAAGATCATCCGCCAAGGAATGGGCCAGCCAGGACTGCAGCCTTGGCTGATCTGACTCCAAAACCCTTGCTCCAGATGACTTGGGAGGCAACACAGACCCATTGCAACCAGCTACTGCACTGGTCAGGGTGATCTCACCACCCTGAGCTCAGTAGGGCTGATTCATCCGCCCAGGAGTCAGGAGAGGCCCTGGGGAGGGGTCAGCGCCAGGGTCTGGAAAGGGCCAGACATTGGGGGAGGGGAGGTTTTCCAGAGCCAGATGTTAATGGGGACACAGCTCTGCTTCCAAAGGTCCTCTCAGGAGCTCAGCCCATAATCGGAGCTGAAGGGACCCACTCCCCAAATGGGTGTAGGAAGGGGACCCCGAGTTTACACAGCCCGTGAGGGGACCTGTGCAGGGCCAGCTGGCTGCGGGGCTCAGTTCCCTCACTGTCACTGCAGGGTCACCTGGACTAGTGGTGGTGGAGGGGCCAAGTCCCAGGAGGCTGTGGGGGTGGGGATGGTGGCAGGCAGTAGGTGGCTGGTGGCCGGGTGTTGTATTAGCGTGGAGGGCCAGGATAAAGGAAGGTGGTGGCTCTGGTGGCCGGGGTCTGCAGGGTTTCAGGCGGGGCGTGGGGTGGCTTGGAGAAGTCAGGGAAGGGGACTTTAGGTCCTGCGACGTGGGGAGGAGGCCGGCTCGAGAGCAGTGGGGAGGAGCCGCGCCGGGGGAGGAGAGATCGCGTGGAGCCGCGGGGTGGCGATGAGGAGGGGCTCCGTGCCCGTCGGGGGTTGTCGCAGAGTCCTCCGAGGGGGTTGGCCTTGGGGAAGGGGTGGCCCGGTACCAACCTAGAGAGGAGCCATGGGGTGCAGCCTTTTCTGGGGCGGGGATGGGGTGGGGGTGGGTCGGGGGCGGGGCCACCGCTGGGTGGGGCGCAGGCCGCCCCCTCCCGCTCCCCCGCGGCGCTGGCGGGCCCGGGCGGGACGCGGGCGGCCACAATGCGCGCAGCGGGCCGCGGTGAGTAGGCGGCGGCCGGGCCGGGCGGGCCACGCGGGCGGCGCTGCTGCTCGGGCAGGTCCGGGCGGGCGAGGAGCGGAGGCCGGGCCCGGGCCCGCCCGCTCCGAGCCGGGACACCACGCCCGCCCGCCCCGCCCCGCCGGAGGGCGCCCCGAGCCCTGAGCCGCGCGGCGCAGGGCCGCAGCCGGAAACCAGCCCCGCGCGGAGACCGGGACTCGCACCCCGAGCCGCAGCCGGAAACTCGCCATGGCCGGGCCGCGGGGCGCGCTGCTGGCCTGGTGCCGCCGCCAGTGCGAGGGCTACGGCGGCGTGGAGATCCGCGACCTGAGCAGCTCCTTCCGGGACGGCCTGGCTTTCTGCGCCATCCTGCACCGGCACCGGCCAGACCTGCTGTAAGTGCCGGGCGCGCGGGTGCGCGGGGTGCGCGGGGCGGGCGGGGCTGGGCACCGCCGCCCCTCTCAGTGACGCGGTGGCGGGCGCCGCCCCCTGGGGGGACATGACCCCGCCGAAGGCCCTAGACGCCAATCGGGTGACAGAGGCCCCTAAACCTTTCTCCTAGACCTCCGATGGGACGGGTCCCCTCCCCCACCAAGCCATCCTGGCCCCGCTCTCTGGGACCCTCAACCCGGCCGCCTGCCTAGGGGCTTTGATTTCCGCTAGGGATGCTGAGCCCCTGATTTCCTGGCCTTCTCTGAACGGGTACACTTAACTCACCTTGGGGACCCCGAGCTTCTTTCATTTGAACCTGTGGGCGTGCTGAGCCCTCCTTCTACTGGGACGCACTTTCTGTAGGAGATCAGAATATGCCACTCCAAAGTAGACTTCTTTGACAGGTTTGAGCAGATCTGAGAAACTGCAGTCCTCAAATAACTGCCCTTTTGTAAAGTAAATTGACTTCTATAAGGGAAATTACATTATTGGCTTCTTCTCCCAAGCCTGAGCCCCTGTCCTTTCTCTCTGTTACTATACAATCCTCCATCACCTGACTTCTTCAAGTCCCAGAATTTGTGAGACATTGATACTGCTGTGTATCATCAAAAACAGTTTTTCTTCCGTTCAGATTTTTATGTCACATTATTTTATAGCCCAGCCAGAACTTAGAAAGGTAGAGGGAAGACCTCCTCTCAGTCCCCATAAACCATTGAGGACTGATCTCTCTGGGGCCCCAAAATGTGAGGACGGTGAACCCTATTTCTCTCTCCAGGGCATTTGCATGGCTCTTGGCACAGAGAATTCCCTGGATTAACAATTGGTAGATGGCTAGAAGTACCCCGAGCTCCTGAGCAGCTCCCCATTAGCAATGAGACCTGCTTACTCTTTGAGCTTGCAAGGGGGGGGGGGAGAGTCAGGAGGAATGCATTGGGAGGACTTGGGGTCTGATTGGCAGCTGCCAAGGAGCCTCCAAGCTTGAAGTGACCCCTTCGTATGTGGAGCTGTCCAGTGAGGTTCTCATGGGACAATATTCTGTCCCATGTGGGGATGTGGGGCTTCTCAGCTTTGTGCTCTGAGACCTGGAGCCCACCCACCCTCCCTTCCTCCCTTCCTTCCTTCCTTCTTTCCTTCCTTCCATGAAACAGTGAGTGAAAGTGTACCTGGTGCCCATCATTTCTTTGGCTTCAGCGCTCATCTGCAAATTGGGGGTGGAAGTCCTGATCCTCCCTCTCTGGGTTCCTCCAGCCTGGCGGGCCTGGAGTCCCCTGAGTTTCAACTCCAGACCAGCTCCCCATCCAGGGCAGCACCTGGCAGGGCCCAGAGAGGATGGCCAAGGACTTGACACTGCCCTGGAGCAGGCACCATGGCTGCAGTGATGGGCTGGGCCCTGGGCAAGAAACAGATTTAGGGGAGGTGATGTAGGTGGGGTGCCACCTCCTGAGGGGCGCATGACAACTCTACCAGTGAAAGCAAGGGTGGGGGCACAGGAGGAGGGGCTTGTGATAGAGGAAAAGGGTGCCAGTGTTGCACCCCAGAGGCTCCAGGGCCTTTTGTTTTGGCTGCAGGAATGAGGCAAGGGGCAGGGAACAGGCATTAAACCAGAAGGGACTTGGATGCCTAGCTTGCCTGCTTGGTGAATCCAACTCTCTTGGCATTGAAAGGGAGGTGTGAGACCTCTGGTGAATCACTGAGCTCCTGCGGACTTCTGTAAGGCTGGAATGATAGATAATAAGGCTGACCTCACAGGATTGTGAGGTAATAATCATGCAGTTAACATTAGTTCTTCTAACTATAGTAGTGCTGTCAGGCTGGAGCTATTAGACTGTGTCTTGGTGCCTTCATTTATTCAGGAAGTATTTATAGTTACTGTTCTGTGCTGGGCATCATACCTGGTAATGGGGATAGGAAGCATCAAAATCTGAGCTCTCCTGGCCTCCCAGATTGTGGGGAAAACAGATGAATAAACTGACAAGAATTCCATCTGCTCTTATCAGTGCCCCCACTGAGACCTCCCGGGGAGAGCACAGGCTTGGAGGAGACAGAGAAGCCAGGTGACTGGCCAGGGTCAAGCCAGCTGTGGGCTCCACTGGAGCAGAGGCCTAGGGCCTGGGTATGTGCAGGGCCACCACCTTGGGCCCGGTGACACAGGCAGCAGGAGTCAGGAGCTGGGCTCGGGCGGGGCTGCCAAGGGCCTCTGGCGGGCTGCCTAGGGTGGATGGGGGTTAGAGGACTCTGCTGGTTTTGACCGGGGATCGAGGAGCCCAGAAAAGTGTGACAGGGAGGATAGTTCCTCTCCCAAGGTGGGAGTCAAGTCCAGGGATTCTTTTGCCATGGACTGACTGGGTGGAAGAGAGACTGAGGCCCAGGTCTCACAAAAGGCATAGTGAAGACCTTAATGAGAGGTAGGGCTGGGGACCTGCGTGATGTGGTTCAAGGCTAGTGTGGACCCCGGCCTCGCTGGGGAGTGGGTTCTGGGCTGGTCTGTGTTTCTCCTCCTGGTCTAGACATTTCTAAGCTCCTTTGAGACCAAGGACCATGTGGATTTCATTTTTGTTCCTTCATCTCCCCTAGAGACAAATGGAACTTTCCAGGCCTCTGAAAACTAAAAAGATCTGTGTTACCAAAACCCAAATGTTAGTGAGAGACAAAATGGGGTGGGAGAAAAAGTGTTGTGTCCTGTGAGTTTTTACAGTTTTCAGCATTTATTCATTCAATAAACATTTACGTTATGTTGTTGAATACCAGGAGCTGGTAGGTGTTGCAAGCTCAGGGTGGTTGGAATGTGATCCTGGCCTTCCAGGAACTCTGCTGGGGAGGCTGAAATAAATGGCAGAGACAAATCCCTCAGCCTGTCCTCGTGTCACAGGCAGGGACGGAGCTTACTGAATGCCCCACTCTTGGGCAGTAGTGTTTGATACCAGGGGAGTCCATGTGGCAGCCAGTGGTCCTGACCAGAGGTGACAAAAAGAGGCTGGAGCTCACATGTGACGCCCTGTCTTCCAGCCCACATAGCTCGGCTGGGGGTGGCAGAGTGGGGGATCCACTTTGATGTTACTGTCTTGCCTGGGGAACTGTGAGGGGGCATAGGGAGGACTCCCTTTTACCAAGCTGGGACACCACCCATCTGGCAGCTGCTCACATGAGCAAATGGGGCCATACCGGCTGCTGACCTGTGCAGGGTCACACAGCCCCGCCTGGAAGAGATGCAGGCCGCAGTTTGCAGCCATAGAAGGAAGGGGAGGCTGCAGGCAGGCGGGTGCAGGAGGGCTGAGCTGCCCGGCCTCCCGCGGGAGGGGAGGTGGGGGATAAATGAAGCCGGCAGGGCAGCCAGCTGTCCTGTGCCTTGGTGCCTTGGTGCCTTGGCCTGGACAGGTCCTGCCGCCTCTCACCTGTGGCAGCTCAGAAAACAGGAAACCCCTCACGGCCCCCTCCTGGGAAGCTGGCCTGAAGCTGTCCCAAGCAGTCCCTGAGCAGGCCTGGGGAGGTGGAGCAGCATCCAGCACAAGCAGCACTGTGCCATTTCCACTCCGGTTCAGACTTGCTCTTCTGTTCCTGGCCCCGTGAGGAAAAGCATTCACCCTGAGCCTGCCGGATTCACATTCGGCGAGCGCATGTGCTTGTGTGTTGGAGATTCCAGGGACTGGGTGGCCCCTCCCCAGCCTCAGTGTCTTCGTCTTAGAATGAGATCAGTGCCCTCTGAGCACAGCAGCCCTGAAAGTCTGTCCACGCGACGAGGCTGGGCACAGTGCTGCACACAGGAGCCGGTGTCTGGCTGGGCTTGGTCTGGTCTTTGCCACTGACGCAGGAGATGACTTCCTGGGGAAGAGTCAGGGCTCGGGAAGGGAAGGGACCGGACACTTGGAAGCTGGGCCTTGGGCCCGCCCCTTCCCAGTGACTTCCCAGCCTCTGCTGGGATTGCCTGTGGGGACCCCGAGGCTGTTCCCTCCTGGCAGTCAATGAGCAAGACCTTGCTTCCTCAGTTTCCCTCAGAAATCCACAGCCCTCCTCCCCACGTCTGCCTAACTGGGGCTGACGCTGGCCGAGATGGGTCTTTTCTCCCCACTCCTTTTTTTCTTTTTTCTTTTCTGGTTTTGTTTTTGTTTTTGGGATGTCACAATATAGTGCAGGCTGGCCTTGAACTCACTTATGTAGCCCAGGCTGGCCTCAAACGCACGGTGTTCCCCCTGCCTCAGCCTCCTGAGTGCTGGGGTTTTAGGTGTGTGTCACCGTGGCCTCCTCTCTTGAATCGCCCTCCTCTCTTTGCCTCTCACAGAGATTTTGATTCCCTTTCCAAGGACAATGTCTTTGAGAATAACCGTCTGGTGAGTCTGAGGGTCGTGGGTGTGTGTTTGGGGGAAGATGGGGGGCTGTGCAGCCCTGGAGGAGGCCTTTGCAGTCCCTCCCTACCCCTGTCCCCTGGGTGCTTGCCTGGAAAATCCTGGGCAATGTGTGAGGCTTGGGGTGGTTATGACGCTGAGGGACCCCACAGTCACCCCATTTTGCTGCAGTAGTGCCCACCTGCCCACTAACACCGCGTCCTCTGTGTCCTCCTCTCCCTGCCTTGGCCATGCCTACTCCCACCCTTCGACCTCCCCCCACCAGGCCTTTGAAGTGGCTGAAAAGGAGCTGGGGATCCCCGCCCTGCTGGACCCCAACGACATGGTCTCCATGAGTGTCCCCGACTGCCTCAGCATCATGACCTATGTGTCCCAGTACTACCACCACTTCACCAGCCCCGGCCAAGGTGAGAGGGGCCCAGGCCTGCGGGTGGGGGGCTGGCCTGGGTGACCCCGGGTGCTCATCGCTTGTTCCCTGTACTGCACACAGGCAGCGGATGGGGCTCGGCCCATCACTCATGCAGTTAATCATCAGGTCACTCATTCAGGTTTCTACTGAGTAAAACAGCACTAGGTCAGGCTCTGGGGACGCAGCTGCTTAGTCTTGTGGGGCAGATGGGTGACAAACCCAGAAGCCAGAAGGTGAACACAGTAATGTCAGGGGACAGAAGCCCGTGCACACCTGCGCCCTGTGAATTCACCTCCATCCGCCCTCACTTCCGGGCTGCAGTCGCTTGCCTGGTTCTTCCTCCACCTGCATGGGGCCCTGTCCCGTGGGGCCCTTGGGGGGCATCCTCCACGGAAGCAAGCTCCATGTGGGCCTGGGGGCTGGGGCAGAAACCTCTCCTGGCCCAGCCGGGCCTCCCCTCCGCAGGGAGGAAGTGGGCCCAAGAGGGGAAGCAGGTGCCTGGGAATGCACAGCTGAATGCGGGGCTGCGTATCGGGGAGTCTGACTCCTTCCTGCGCAGGGTCACTGCTGCCTGTGGGTCCTACCCGGCTCCAGCCTCTGCTTGCCCCACGGGCAATCCCCATCCATCTCTTCTAAAGGAAAAAAAAAAAACCCCACACACAAGAAAAGACCCACGAAGTCCAGACTTTCTTTTGTTACTAAAACTGAAACTTGTTCATTATAGAAAATTTAGAACCACCAAAGAGCTTAAAGAAATCTGCCGTGCCCTCCCCAAGGCAAGCCTGGGCCTTAAGGTTACAAGTGAACAAATCATACCATGTATGTGTCTTATACTAGAAATCAGGATGATAGTGCAGGCTGGCCTCTGTGTGCTCAGGTCCCGCCTCTGCACAGGCAGCAGCCTGGACTGAAGCTGTTTGAGGGGCAGGTGGAGCGCCTGCCCGGCTTGAGCTGGGTTTGACCCCAGCATGATGATGATGATGATGATGATGATGATAATATGTGTGTATGTTTGAGTCTGTCCTGAACGTGCGCAGATTTTTTGGTTTACTGTTTCCTAAAAAATGCAGCATGCCAGTATTTACCTGATCTTTACGTGGCATTAGGAGTTGTGAGTAATCTGGAAGTGATTTGCATACACAGGGGGACGGGCAGGGGCATCCACAATGCTGTGCATTTCCGGTCTGAGGCTTTAGCATCCTAGGCCTTAGCAAGGACAGAAGCACTCTGGACCCTGCAGCCTTTGGTGAGAGGCAGCCTAAACATGGAGTTTAAAGCAGAGACTCAAAATTCTCTCTCTGCCCTTTACTAAGTTACTATGGACCAGTTTCTCAACCTCCCTGCCTCAGCTTCCCCTTTGCAGTGAGAATAAGAATGGTGTCCACTCCCAGAGTGGACATGAGTGGCAGATGAGACGAACTGTGGAATCATGTCTGGCCCTTACTTAGGACCCGAGATGCGTGCCCGTGCTGCCCTACCTTAGGGCAGCTCAACTTCGTGATTGTTTAGCTAACAGTACTGCAAAGCAGTCCGCATTCTTCGATGTTGTATTTCCAGTTTGGATCTTTTTTCTGGCCTGGGAAACAGCTCAGGGTAGTGCACTTACTGCATTGCTGAGGTATGATGTTCACTAATGTAAGTATAATAAACGGATTTTTTTTTTTGAGATGGCAAGATCTCGCTGTGTAGTTCAGCCTGGCCTTGAATTAATACTGTAGCCCAGGCTGGCCTTGAACTTGTGGCAATCCATCTGTTTGAGTCTCCTGAGTGCTGGGATTTACAGGCATGTGCCACCTTGCCCAGCTGTGATGGGCTTTTCAGGATGTCAGTTGAATGTTAAGTTGAGAGATGTGAGCTCCCAAATAATTCCACCAGTCCAAGTTAACCTGCTCAATGTTCAAAGTCTGTAGTTGACTGTGACCTGAATCTCAGTTCAACCTACCTCCCGGACAAACCCAAACCCATCTTACCCTCCCTCGAAGGGCCCTTCCTGTAGGGTTGGACAGGTAGGGTGGGAAAGGGGGCTGCATATGGCCGAGTACCCCTTGCCCCATGGGGGATCTCTGAGGAAGGCACTCTTTGTATCTTTCAAACCTCCCACTCTGCACCTAAACACAAACCATTTTTACCCCATCTGCTGCTCACAAAGGAAACCATGATGTGTTCCAGCCCCGGGGGCGGAGCTGGCTCTTTGTGCCCCCAGATGGTCCTGGGCTGTACTTTCTGGGAGAGTGGAGGGATTTCGTGGTTTCCACCAGGCTTGGCTTCCCCTAGCTCGGTGGCCCTGGCTCCTGCCTGGCTGAGATACCGGTGCTCTGCTGAGTGTTGAGTTTGCTCCAGCCCCCTGGGTGCCAGTGACCCCACACACATCGGGTGGTGCCCCTAATAAAGGAGCCATAGTGTATAGCAGGAGAGCCAGGGCTGGAGAGAAGGAAGCCTGGTGGCTGTGGGAATCTATGAGGGTCACCTGCCCCCAAGGTGCTGGGCAGGTGTCCTCAGGGTGATGTTAGCTGCACAGTGTGGCTTCTCAGGGCCTCTCCCCCGGGGCCTGGAATCTCTGCCCCAGCCATATTGAATATCTTATGCCTCTTTGTTTCTTTCTTGTTTTGTTTTGTGTTTAGTCTATTTGAGTCTTGCTATGCAGTTCAGGCTGGCCTTGAGCTCACTTTGTAGCCCAGGCTGGTCTCCAACTCTCAATGATCCTCCTGCCTCAGCCTCCCGCTGCTGGGATTACAGGTGTGAGCCACCACGCCCAGCTTCTTCTTTGTTTCTTTTCTTTCCTTTTTTTTTTTTTGCTTTTTGAGACAGGGTCTCCCTCTGTAGTTCAGACTGGCCTTGAGTTCACTCTGTGGCCCAGGCAGACCTGGAACTGCTGGTGACCTCCTGTGTGCAGGGCTTCCAGATGCGCGTCGCCATGCCTGACTCGTGTGCTAAGCCTCACTTTCTTCCCACTGCAGCCCCTTTCCTGCCTTCTGGTGGATTCTTTCCTTCTTTTTCTCTTACCTTTGTGCAGGCTGTGGCCCCGACTTTCCGAGTGCTCCTGCAGCCCTGCCCAGGGGAACCGTCATAATGAATATTTTTTAGTGCAGGACGTTGAACCCAGGGCCCTGTGCCTGTTCGGCTGGTGCTGTGCTGCCGAGCTGTATCTGCAGCCCCCCAAAGCCTTCCTTATTCATCCTCCTTCTCTCCAGACCACCTCGGCATTGTTCCCCGCTCTGCAGCCCCAGCGCCTGGCACTGGCTCGTGCGCTGCAGAACTATTTATGAGCCCTGCTTGTGCCAGGCAAGCGCTGGCTGCTGGGGGCGCTGCTGGGAGGGAGAGAGACGGACACAGAGCTTGTGTTCTAGCCATGGGGAGGAGAGAGGGAGAGCGGATCACTGAGTGGATCATTTCAGATGAGCCTGGAGAAGGAATGAGGTGGGGTAACGGGGTGAGAAGCAATGTGGGTGCGTGTATATGCATGCGTGCGTGTGTGTGTGTGTGTGTGTGTGTGTGTGTGTGTGTGCAGGGATGGGTGTGCACACCATAATCCCAGTTACTCAGGAGGGAGGTAGCAGGGTTGGCGTGGGTTTGAGGCCAGCCTGCACTGTACGGTGAGTTCAAAGGCAGCCTGAGCTACATAGCAAGACTCCGTCTCAATTCCCTCCTCCTGTCTGAAAAAAAAAAAAAGATCTGGGAAGAAATCAGGCCAAGGGCAGGAGATGGGGACAGATGAGGTGCAGAGGAAGGAGGTCTGGTAGGGAGCTGCCGAGCCCCGAGCTTTTTCATCTGGACTCGTAGGGAGGGATACGTTTTCTATCAAACTCCGAGTGCATGCACTGAAACAAGTTTTAGGAAACAGTTCTTCCCCTTACAACATGTGATATGCTCTATAGTTGCAGATATTTTCTGTTTTGCAACTTAGTGAGACCCTGTCTCCAAAAACAAAACAAAACAAAACAAAATGCTAGAGGCCTAGGAATGTAGCTCGGTGTGCAGGCTCTGGGTTCAATTCCCAATATCCCGTTCCTCTCTCCCCCAAAAAAGGATGAAACAAAATTTTAAAATATTTTTTTGGCTGCACCAAGGATTGAGCTCAAGGCCTTTGCCTGAGCTACATCTTCAGCCCCATTTTTTATTCCGAGATTCCAGGCTGGACTTGAAAGTGTGCTCCTCCTGCCTCAGCCCCTTGGAGCCTGAGACTACGGTTTCTGTTAGTACACGGTGCCCTTATTTTGGTGTATCCGCCTGGATTTGGGGTTTTACTTTGACTTGGGTACAGTCACGGGAGCTTGGTGACTATGTACTGGGCAGGGAGGAGCTGGCCTCAGGGTGTCCCCCGCCGAGGGGCTGCGCTAGGGCTCCGCCTGTACTTGGTCACTTGGAGGTTTGGCCGGGCAGCTCCTCATCCATCCAGGGCAGGGATCCATCTTCTGGAGACTCCAGGCCGGCATCGTGTGCTTTTTCTTTTCCTTCCCTGGGTGGGAAGGAGGCTGCCTATCTGGCCATGTGCTGGGAGTTGTAAGACTGTCCCCATGTGGTGTTGCTCATATTGACCCTGTGCAGTGGGAATTTCAGGCCATGCTCAATGGAGGCCCAGTGAGGTTAAGTGGCCTGTTCCCAGGACATGGTTTGGAAACCAAAGTGGCCCCCAGTCCAAGTGATGGGGAGGCTACCCTTGCCCACTGCCCCGGGGCTCCGATTCTGTCTCCACGGCCTCAGGCGCCCTTCTGTCTCCACAGCCGGCGTCTCACCATCCAGGAAAGAGCTGACCGCCTCGTCCCCACCGTTGGTGGCACCCTCCCCAGCTGAACCAGGAGATGAGACTCAGGTAGGCAGGTACCTTGAGCAGAGAGGATGGCTTGGGGACAGTTGTCACGGCATTGACTGTCACATGAGGAGACTGGCCCTGGCAGCATTGAGAGGGTGTTCTTTGTCCTTGCCCTGTTAGCTTTGAGAACGGGGTCTCCCACACTGGGGTGGGGATGGTCCCATTCTGTAGACCCCACAGTGACCTTGCCGTCACGGGACAGTCAGGAGCTACACATGGAACAGAGCAGATGTCGCCTGACTCTTTTGAGTCAGAGATCCAATCCCCAGTGTGGTTCCATCCAGTGACACCTCGGGGAGGGCAGTGTCATGGGTCCTGGCGGCCGAGGAGGAAGCTGGGCCTCAGTGAGGTCATTTTTCCCAGGCCATTCAGGAGGGAAGTGGAACCACTCTGGCAGTCACCTTTTCCCAGGACACCAGCCTTTCACATGCTCCAGGGGCCCAGGGAGGCCGTGTAGGGCGAGACTTGCAAGGGCTCAACAGGGAGGTGGGGGGACATGCAGAGACAGGGTCCAGGGCACTGTGCCGGGCAGGTGAGCCTGGGATTTGAATAGAGGGTCTGGGGGCAGGACCCTCAGGAACCAGAAAACTGGATTTTCACGTTTTCCACCTGGTGACCTTGAGCAAGTCTGTCCCCTTTGTGACCTTTGGCATCCCACTCTGGGAGGTGGTGACAGTTCCAGGCTTCTGCCCCTCATAGGGCTCCGATCCTTGTATAAAGCCGCTGGGAAGCTGGGAGCACGCCTGAGGGCTGGTGGCCATGACGGGGAGATGACAGGAAGGGCAGGAGGGTGTTCTGGAACTACGTGGCTGGTGACTCTCCATTCCCTGCAGAGCGAGGAGCTGTCTTCAGGTAGCCTGTCGGAGCAGGGTGCCCAGAGGGCCCCCAGCAGCACGTGTGCGGCCTGCCAGCAGCACGTGCACCTGGTGCAGCGGTACCTGGCCGAGGGCAGGCTGTACCACCGCCACTGCTTCCGGTGAGTCAGTCCGTACCGGGGCAGGGCCCCAGGCCCAGCACCCATGGGATGCCATGTGCTGAGGAGCAGAGTGGGGCTCAGCTGGGGACAGAGATCTGCCCATAATTAGTGAGAATTTCCTGACTGATTCAGGGCTATTGCTCAGGGCTCCTGCACCCAGCCCCTATGCCCTTCAGGATGACTCCCCGAGTGTGTGGAAGGCAGTACTTGCTTCACACCCTGAACTACATAGCGAGACCCTCGCCACCAAAAAAATTACAGTAACTTGATTTCAGTGTGGCTTCCCGGGTGAAGCCAGCTTTAAAGAAAGCGGAATGTAAGAGGCAAGGAAAATGTCAAAACTTAGCCAATCTGCAGTTGGATGTGCATGGGATTGTGCACGTTTGTGCATGTGTGCATGCGTGTGTGCATGTGTGTGCCTGGTGTGTTGCTGCGTATGGAGCCCAGGGTCTTGCATATACTTGGTATCCGCTGTACCTCTAGCTATATCCCCAGCCCCAAAATACTTTATGTTACAAAGAGAAAAACAGAAAATGTGAATGTAGTCAGTGGAAGACAAAGGTTGACATCCTATGCATGCCTGATTTGGCTTAGTATGTTTGTGTGTGTGTGCGTGAGAAAGAGTGGGTATGGAACCCTGATACGGAGGTGTCACGAGGCAACAGGTTACAGGGACACACACACATCTGGCCAGCTGGGCAGTGTTCTAGAAATTTCTTTTTTGGTACTGGGGATCGACCTCACACTTGCCAGGCAGGTGCTTGTGCTGCTGAGCTAAATCCCCAGCCCCCATCTAGAAACTTTTTATATTGACTTTTGCTTTCTTTTGTTTTGGTACTGGGAGTCTAACTCTGGACCTTGCGCTTACCAGGTAGGCGCCGTGCCGCTGAGCTCTATCCCTGGTCCTACATTGACTCTTAGTAAAACAAAAAAAATGCATTTGACACTCTGACTAAGTGTTAAGTACCGAAAATGAAACTTGTGTCAGTAGATAAACAACTGAAAGAAAGGTTTTCTTTTTTTTTTTTTTTTTTTTTTTTGGTCTTTTTTTGTTTTTATCGGTACCAGGGATCGAACTCACGACTGCCTGATTCCAAGGCAGGCACTTATGCCGCTGAGCTAAATCCCCAGCCCCAGAAAGAAAGGTTTTCTAAAACAATCTTTGGCCAGACTTGGGTGGTGCGTGCCTGTAATCCCAGCACATGGCAGGCTGAAGCAGGGGATTGTAAGTTTGAGGGCAGCCTTGGCTACATAGCATGTTCCATGCCGGCTTGGGCCACATAGTGAGACTCTATCTTATAAAAAAAAGTGTATCCTTGCTTGTGTGATTCACTGTGACCCATTGTATTTTATCTATTTAATTAAGCACAAACGCCCCCAGTAGAGGAATGTAGCTCTGGGAGGGCGTTTGCCTAGCATGGGGTTCAAGCCCAGAAACCAGAAACTAATCTGGCCGTGCGAAAACACTGAGTTATCTCTAGGGCCACTGTTGAGGCAGCCCCCTGCTGGACGAACCTCTAGGCCTGCCTTTGTGCTTCCTCTTAGCGCACAGACCAAAGCACGGTTTCACAACTTCTGGGGCAGATTTCACACAGTGTCACTGTCTCAGTGTTTCTGACAGTTACCACCCTCTGCATTTTCTGGCAAATCCTAGTAATGAGCCAGGATCCTCTGGCGGTCAGGGCACTTGGGGAGGGGGCCTTGGACTCTGGTGGAGGGAAGAGGGGGTCCAGCAGTGAGGTGAACCCCATTCTGTCCCTGGCAGGTGTCGGCAGTGCTCCGGCACCCTGCTCCCGGGGGCCTACAAGAGTGGGCCGGAGGCGGGAACCTTCGTGTGTGCTGAACGATGCACCAGGCTGGGCCCAGGGGGACAGGCGGGAGCCAGGCCTGGGCCGCCCTCACAGCCGAAGCCGCAGCAACTGGCAGAAGAGGCCAGGGATGGCGAGGAAGGCGGTCCCAGCTCCAGTGTGGCTGCGGGACGCAAGGCTGTCCCTGAGGCCCGGCCACATGTCCCCACCAAGCCCCCGCTTCCGGGGAAACCCCAGGAGCTGAGCAGCCCCGTCTCTGGCCGGCCCACGCCTGCGCCCAGGAAGGCCTCCGACAGCATGGCCCCGACCCCTCCAACGCCGCGGCCCCGGTCCAGCCTGCAGCAGGATAGCACGGCAGAGCAGGGTGGCAGCGGTGGCCTTGTGAACGGTGAGCGAGGGTGCAGCCGGGCAGTGTGTTTGGGCCCTGAAACTTCTGTGTGCATCTGGACATGCGTTGTGTTGGAGGTTGGGCAAGTCTCTGGGGTCATTAGTTCCTGCCGCCTGTAGTCACCGTGAGCCTGTCTCAGCCCGGTTACATCTTTGAAGCTGCCACGGCTCAAGCCAGGCCGACACGGGTGTCTCCGGCTGCCCCGCTCCGTGGGTGTGAGTGTGCGGTGTTTGTGAGCTGCTGTTTGTCTCGTGTTTCTGGCAGTGAAGTAGTAAACACGCCTCTGTGTGTGCCCGTATGTCCTGTCTCGGGGACTTTGGACACATGGGTGTCACTCCAGCCTTCAGGCTTGTTCCCGGTGACCTCCTGCATCCCACCTGTGTGCTTGTCAGGGTCTGGCTGGGGACAGCTCAGAGGCTGGAAGGAGGAGGGGGCTCTGGGAACCCTGAGCTGCTCTGAACTGCAATGGAGGCCCCGGCTGGCTCCGCGGCCACTTCCTGGGAACAGGGGGCTTCCAGCAGGGGGTGGCACCTCGGTTGAATGGAGCCTATACTCCATTCTGCCCAGGCTGGGGGAGTGCTGAGGGGACTCAGGTTCCTTCTGTCAAGTGAAGTACAAGTCTGGCCTGGTCACCTGCCCTTGTCACTGTTCTCCTGGTCACCTTCGGTGTTTATCTAATCTCCCCATGGGCCTGGCAGGGGAGGTGCCAGGTCCCGGGGAGGTTGCCATGGTCACCCTGGGTTCGTGTCTCAGGGTCAGAGGAAAGGGCACCTCCTTGGGGAGGCAGCTGCTCTGCCTGGCTCCTGTGCCACTCTGCCACCCATGAAGGCCTGGCTCACTGTCCTTTCCAATCTAGGAAGACTCCAGGAGCCTCCTGTCCCTAAGCCTAGAGGGACACCCAAGCTGTCAGAGAGGTATGTCAGTCCTCAAGAGATTTTTCTGCTTTGGTAACCCTGGTGGTGGGAATGGGGGGCCCGGTGGGGACAGGGTTTCCTGTGGGTGTGCAGGGGGTTTGGGGGGCACTCATTTCTGGGTGAGGATGGAGAGTGGTACCTGTGATCCCTTATCCTCAGCTCCCTCTGGGAGTCTGAGTGCCATTGCCTGACCTGCTCTTCAGGAAGAGACGCCACCCACAGAATCACCTCATCCCTCAGCCTCGCTTCCCGTAATGTGGGGACCCAGGAAGGAGTGGGAAAGCCCCGCAATAGGCCCAGCTGTTCGAGAGCTGTGCTTTGGGTGCTTTGTGTCAGCAGTTAGAGTGTTGGTCTGCTGTGACACTCAGGCTGGACGTGGTACTCATTGGACCCACAATGGCCCTGTGAGGCTTTACTGTCCCTGTTTGATGGATGAGGAGACTGGTGTACAGGAAGGCTGGTGGCTTTGTTCAAGTGTTACACCCAACCCCTTTCCTGGGCTGTGTGTCTTAGGGTCTGCCCCATCTGGGCCTCGGAGTGTCCAGTTGAGATGTGACTGTAATGACCCATCATGGTCTTGGTCCAGATGGTCCCTGGGCCAGGGGAGGAGAGGAGAAGGGCACCTTCTCATCACCAGCTTGGAGATGGATTGCAAATGTCCTGAGACAGTGGGGAGGCTGACCCCTTGCCTGGCTCTTGCTTCCTCTGCAGGACGCCCCCTGCTAGGAAGGACCCCCCGTGGATAACACTTGTACAGGCAGAGCCTAAGAAGAAGCCAGCCCCGCTGCCCCCCGGCAGCCCCAGGCCACCAAGCCGGGGCAGCAGGCAGGAAGAAAATGGCACCGTGGAAGAGGTGACCCCACGCGGCCCTGCAGCTGGCTCAGAGCCCAGGACCTACAACCCCTTCGAGGATGAGGAGGAGGTGGAGGAACCATCCCCAGCGGCACCCAGCCCAGCCCCTAGTCCTGCCCAGGCACCCTCAGAGTGCACCCCCAAGTCCCTACACCCCTGGTACGGCATCACACCCACCAGCAGCCCCAAGACGAAGAAGCGCCCTGCTCCCCGTGCGCCCAGCGCGTCCCCGCTCGGTGAGTGCCTGCCCAGAGCTGTGCTGAGCTGGGGCAACTGGCCAGGTTGGGTGTGGGACCTGGGAGCCACGGGGGCCAGCTGCCCTTGGGGGTAGGGTTCACTGTCCCCTGCCACTTACTCCCAGGGCAGGCCTGCTGGTGCTATGCTTGCAGTTTGCCTAAGGCCTCTCAGCGCCAGAGCAGTGAGGGGTGGATTTAACCCAGGCGGTCTGGGCCTAAAGTCCTTCCTCTTCGCTCTCACTGAAGTGCTAATTAAACATGGATTCGGGAAATGAGCTCGGTATGGTGTATACGTATGTAATTCCAGCACTTGGCGGGAGGCGGGAGGATCACTGTGGGTTCAAGGCCGGCCTGAACTGCATAGTGAAACCCTGTCTCAAAAAAGTAAAAACACAAACAAAAAACAAAAATGGCACGGCAAGGGGCCACCTCTTCCACGGCGCCACATGCCCAGCTGTGGTTTTCTGGGAGGCATGTGGTTAAGGCTTAGCTTTCACTCTGCCTCTCTGGCTCACTGTCATTGTCACTTAGTTGCCCAGCACTCTGGGCTCTCACCTGGCAGTGCTCCCGTCTGTGAGCGGGGGGCACCCAGGACTTACTTCCTCACCGGGACACGCTGTACTTTCTGGCTGTCCCCATCTTCCAGTCTGGGTCACGTTGCATCACAGCTGGAGCCTGACTGCCTCCGAGAGCCCCGTGGGCCTCTCAGATGTGCACACAGGTGCTTGGGTGGCCGAGTCCAAAAGCCCTTGGTGGGCAGATGCTGGGCGGGCAGACGTGTGAGCTCTAGAGTCGGGCATTGTTCTGTTGAGTGCCCAGTCCTCCCTGAGTTGTGGCCTCATCTGGGAAGTGTGGGTGGCACAGGGCAGGAAGGTGAAGTGGTCCTCGGCGGTGCCTGGCCCTGGGAGCGCTGCTGTCCCCCTCCTGCTGCAGATTGGAGGCAAGGAGGCCAGCTGTGGCCCTCTGGTGTTCCTCTGTCTTCCCTGGCCGCTTGTCCTCTAGTGGGCTGGAGCGTGGGAGGGTCGGGTGGGGGCATGGGCAGTGGAGGCAGCAGCTCTGCTGCATGAGGGTATCTGTGTGCCAGGAACCACTATGCCAGAGCGGAAGGCAGCATGGGACCTCCCGTGCATGTGCTGGCCTGTCCCCGTGGGCCGGGCTTGGTTTCCAGGTCCACCTCTGACCACCTCTTGCCTGCTTGGCCCCACAGCGCTCCACGCCTCCCGCCTCTCGCACTCGGAACCCCCCTCGGCCACGCCGTCGCCCGCCCTCAGTGTAGAGAGCCTGGCATCTGAGAGCTGCAGCCAGATGGCAGCCGGGGAGCTTCTGGAGCCACCAGCTGTGCCCAAGAGCTCCTCGGAGCCTGCTGTCCATGCCCCTGGCACCCCTGGGAACTCGGCCAGCCTCTCTGCCCACTCCTCCCTATCCTCATCTGGGGAACTGGTGCAGCCCAGCGTGGAGCAGACACCCCAGGCCAGGACGAGGGGCAGCCCAGGCCCCCAGCCAGCCAAGCCCTGCAGTGGCGCTGCCGCCACACCTCTCCTGGTTGGCGACAGGAGCCCTGCACCGTCCCCTGGAAGCTCGTCCCCACAGCTGCAGGTAAAGGTGAGTGCCCTTTCTCCTCAACAAAGGCTGCGTTCTCTCGAATGTATTCTTTGTTTTTTCTTGGTACTGGGAATCAAACTCAGGACCTCACATTTGTCACACAGGTGCTGTGCTGCTGAGCTACATACCCGACCCTGTATTCTTTCTAATGGACATGGGGCAGTGATGTCCAGGGCTGTCCATCTGTGCGGGCTCCCCCTTTCTTGTGGTGCGAGGGGCTGAACCACTGAGCAGCATCCCCAGACCTTTGTTTATTTTTCCTTTTGAGACAAGGTCTCATCACATTTCCCAGGATATACTCAAACTTTGTATCCTCCTGCCTCAGCCTCCCAGAGTTCTGGGATCACAGTACACCACCGTGCCTAGCTGGCCCTGCCTTCCTGGGTGGCTCGGGTGAGTCCTGCTCACCACCTTGTGGAGTGAGACACAGCCACAAATCCATGTCATACTTCCGTCTGTCTGCTCCCCGCCCCTATCTGTTCATCTGTCCATCCACTGGGCCATCCATCTACTGCATTCAGGAATCATTTCCCTGGCTAGGCCCAGGTGCTGACCCTGTTTAGCTGTCCACTCTTTTGTGCCCTCTGGCTCAGTTGACACCAGGCCCTGGGCGTGGTGGCAGGGAGACTCTGTCCTCATCCCAGGGCTCACAGTCTGCTCATGAGAACAGGCATGGTCTAAAAAGTGGTCTTTGTGGAGCAAGATGTGGGGACAGCTTCCTTCGCCTGACCCTGACCCCTTCCAGGGAGTGGGCACCAGCCCTCGGTGAGCACTGCCGGGAGCCTGGGCTCCAGTGGTCACCAGGGGAGGTGAGGGGAAGATCCCTGTCCTTGAGGCTCAGAGCTCCCTTTGTGAGGGGGCAAAGTCAGCCCCAGCAGGCTGAGGGGCTCAGGATATCCCTGCTGAGTACCACTGTTGGGCGTGGCCTGGCCTGGTCTCACTCCTTGCCCTCCCAGGCCTTGGTCAATGGGCTCTGCCTTCTAAAAGGGGTGAAGTGGGCATGAGGAGGGTCTGGCTGTGTCCCTTCCCGGGCATCAGGTTTTTCAGGTGCTCCGTGCGCAGTCGGGCATGGTGGTGTATTTAGGAGGCTGAGGCAGGAGGATTGTTATGAGTTCAAGACCAGCTTGGGCTGCAAAGTGAGCTCAAGGCCAGCTTTGAGCCTTGAGCCTTAAGCAAGACCCTGTCTCAAAAAAGATAAGAAAAGGGGCTGGGGATTTAGCTCAGCAGCATAAGTACCTGCCTTGCAAGCAGGCGGTCCTGAGTCGATCCCTGGTACCAAGTGGGGGGTGGGACAAAAAATTTTTTTAAAAAAGTACTCCATGGGCTGTATGCACACTTATGTCTCAGCTTTCAGCCCGTGTGGTAGTGCAGTCTGTGATCTCAGCTACTGAGGAGGCTGAGGCAGGAGAATTGTGAGTTCAAGGCCAGCTTGGGCCAGTTAGGGGGATCCTGTCTCAAAATCAAATGGGCTGGGGATTTAGCTTAGTGGCATAAGTGCCTGCCTGGCAAGTGTGAGGTTGCAAGTTGGATTCCTGGTACTAGGAAAAAAAATAAAAGGAAAAAAGGAATCAAAATAAAACAAAGATTTGGGGGTATGGCCAGTGATAGAGACCCACCTGGCATGCATGGGGCTTTGAGCTGTTCCTCCAGTCCCACAAAAAATTAAAACAAGAAAAAGAATTTGGGGTCTCCTGAGTCAGGACATTGCTCTGGACACTTGGCCTGCCTGTTTTGGCCACAGTGCCCGGGGCCTGGGCTTGTCAGCCCCTGGCGTAGGGTGGAGGGACCCTCACGTGGGGCAGCTGTAGCCTTGGCCTGGTCCTTGCTGGTCCAACCCTGCCTGTTCCTTTCAGACTTTCTTTGATGTTCTCTGGCCTGGGCCACAGAGTCAGTGTGCTAATTGCTGTTCTGCCATCTGCTGTGTGACCTTGAGGAGGCCCTGCCCTTCTCTGGGCCTCAGGCTCTCTTGCTAGTGAGGGGCTGGGCGGTGCCAGGTGTGGAGACAGCTCCAAGGGGCCCCGGGTCCTTTGCTGGAAGGAGGGGGCTGGAGGGCAGCTTAGGGTCCCCTGCCCCATGCACCCACCTCTCTTTTAAGTGCTTGCCTCCTGCCCGTGCTGTTGGGAGATGAGCTTGAGGGTGTCTTGTGTCCAGAAAAGGCTTACCAGCTGGCCCGGGTAATGGCCAGGGCTGCATACCTGGGGCTGCTTTGGCTGTGTTGGCCTCAGAGAGGGCTGGCGTCTCCCCAGGGGACAGAAAGACATGGCTTGGTGTGTCCAAAGTGGGCTGGGCAGCAAAGCTGGGTCTTAAGAACCCAGCCTCTGGCTCCCACTTCCTCCCCTAATCCTGGGTAAGGGTGGGTTTGGGACCCCATCCCCATGCCAGGTGACTGCTGCAGCCCTGAGGTGCACCCTCACCCTGGTTGTGAGGTTTACACAGCATATACACAGCATCTTGTGCTGTAACTGCCACATGGGAGGTGTTCTGGAAATGGAAATGTTTGTTGAATGACTGAGTGCCTCAAACAGAACTAGAGGAGAGTCTGTTCTGGCCTAGGCCCTCCTCACACAGCATCCCTCTTGCCTTTAGGGTCCTGGCCTGCTTCCCATATTCCACAGGGTCAGGCTGCCCACTTCTGATGCTGAACCTCTTGTCTTTAGTCTTCCTGCAAGGAGAATCCTTTTAACCGGAAGCCATCGCCTGCAGCGTCTCCAACTGCCAAGAAGGCCACCAAGGGACCCAAGCCAGCGAGGCCACCCGCCCCAGGACATGGCTTTCCGCTTATCAAACGCAAGGTGTCTGCAGGGATCCTCCCCCAGAGACCCGGCTGGCCTGGGCCTGGCACCTTCCTCTCTGCAACCCTCTGCTGGGTGTCAGGGCTGCTGCCCTCTGATGTTCAGTTGGGGGCTCTGGGGTGCCCCACGTGGGAGTTCAGGGGATTTGAAGCAGACTGGAGAGCAGCGGGCAGTACATTGACCTGTTACACACAAATGTTCAAGTTTAAATGCTCGCGTAAGAGAGGCTGCTCCTTAGAGTGGGTCCCTCCCTCTCCTGTGGGGAAATCCTTTGCAGTGGCCTAGGAAGGGAGCCGTTTCCCCAAGAGGAAGAAGTGTCTCTCAGGAGCACAGGATGGGGGTGGGAGGTGGTGCCCACCTGGGGGGGTGGTCCCCACCCTGACGTCCTGCCACGCCCATGCTGGACATGAGCCAGAACCTGGTCCCTGGAGCTTGCATGGCCAGTGTCAGCCAGAAAGAGGGGTACGGCTCCTGGCAGCGGTCTGGAATGGAGGCGGGCAGCAGTGGGTGGCAGGGCCAGCTGTCCTTCCGGTGACCAGGGTCCCACCGGCAGGTCCAGGCGGACCAGTACGTCCCCGAGGAGGACATCTACGGAGAGATGGATGCCATCGAGCGCCAGCTGGATGCGCTGGAGCACCGTGGGGTCCTGCTGGAAGAGAAGCTGCGAGGCGGGGCCAGTGGTGCGGGTGGTGCTGCCCGGGATCCGGCGGGAGGCGCTGGGCTGCCGGGAGTCCCTGTCCCCTGGGCCGCCGGCCCTGGCCTGAGCAAGTGTCTGGCTTGCAGAGGGCCGCGAGGACGCCATGCTGGTGGACTGGTTCAAGCTCATCCATGAGAAGCACCTGCTGGTGCGGCGCGAGTCCGAGCTTATCTACATGTGAGTCCTGTCGTCCTCGGTGGGCCCCCGGCCCGGGCAGAGTCACTCACCCCGCCCTGTTCCCTCCCCCACCCCAGCTTCAAGCAGCAGAACCTGGAGCAGCGCCAGGCAGACGTGGAATACGAGCTCCGGTGCCTTCTCAACAAGCCGGGTGAGCGCCCGCCTGGCCTAGGGTCCGAGGAGAAGGGCGGGAAGAGGGCCTGGTCCTCTAGGAGGGCAGTGATTATAGCCGGTGACAGCCAGAGCCAGGAGAGGGGGCCTCGGGGATGTAGTAGCTGCATGGATGTCCACGATGATGAGATAATGGGCCCTCGGTGAACCTGGGGCAGGGGCAGCTGCTCCTATTTTGGGCGTGGTGTCAGCCCTGGCTGTGTGACTTTGGGTGGTCTCTTTGCCTCTCTGGGCCATGTGGCTGTCGTATGGAGTGAACGCAGCTGCGAGCAGGATGGCAGGACCAGAACATAAGAGCCGAGTTGGGTGTGGGGATGCGTGTGTGACATTGCAGCACTCAGGAAGCTGAGGCAGGAGGATTGACTCAAATTCCAGGTCAACTTGGGGTACATAGTCCAAGGCCAGCCTGAGTGACATTAAGAGATCCTGTTTCAAAATAAGTAAACTCAGAACAGTAAAAACAAAACAAGAAGGTTGGAGCCGGCAGCCAGGGCTTCTGACGCCTTTTCGTGGCACCAGGGCTCAGTGTAGGCCGCCATCCTCACCTCCCAGATGAGGGAAGGGCCTCTGAGAATGTGGCCCTGTCTCCCTGTTGATGGGGAAGCTTAAGTGGCTGGCATGTCCCAGGGAAGCCACAGGATGTCCCTGGCCTCCATTGCCGGCTGTCTTCAGGAACCTGGGTCTCAGCTGCCTCCCGGGGGCCACAGTGCCGCCCGGTGGCCAGATTGGGTATAGCGCTCTGCTTCCCGGGCCGTCTGGCCCTGGGCTTTCTGCCTCTCCAGTCCCGCCTTGTCATCCTGTTTCAGAGGTTGTTTTTGGAGGACAAAGCGGGTTGATAGGGTCTCAGGAGGGTTGGAGTCCCATCGGATACCACAGTGGCTGGCACTTGGTGCCAGGCTGCTCTGGATCAAATCCTGGCCCCACCTTAGCTGTGTGAGGCTGGTCAAGGATTTGATTTCCCTGAGCCTCAGTCTCCCCATGTATAGACTGGGGACATAACTCAGCCTTCAGGTTTGGAAAGTTGTAGAGCAGAATCTGGACTTGGGTGGTGACTCTGAAGCCCACACACACTCTGTCCCCAGAACTGGGCAAATTGTAGCAGATGTTGGGAAGGGATTGCAAAGTGGGGCACCCAGCCCTGGGAGCCTGCAGGCTTCAGGGAGAGAAAGCAGGGCACAGGTGGGCACCGTGGGACAGCTCTGGGCCCCCCTGTCATCTCCACCCCAGTCCTGCCTCCTGTGGAGCCAGCTCGCCCACCCTGTTGTGTGGATGAACAGACATGACCAGGAAGCCCTCGGATGGATACAGGCTCTGTTTTTAGGGTGTGCGCTGTGCTCCCTGCCCAGGGCCCCTGAGGAGCATGCTTGGTAGGCAGTGCCGAGTCCTTGGTCCCGTCTACGGTGGCCTTCATACTCTCCAGCCCTCCTGTCCTGGGCTTCCCTCGTGCTTGGTACCCGGCCCAGGGCCTGCCGGCCGCGCTCAAGTGGCATCTCCTGTTGTTCTGGGGAGGAGGAGGGTCTTCCTGCAACTCATGCCCAGCCCTGCCCCCTGGTAGAAAAAGACTGGACAGAAGAGGACAAGAGCCGGGAGAAGGTGCTGCTGCAGGAGCTCATGACCCTCATCGAGCAGCGCAATGCCATCGTAAACTGCCTGGACGAGGACCGGCAGAGGTAACCCAGCTGGAGGGGAGAGGCGGAAGCAGCTGTGGCAGCGTCTGGGACACAGCCCCACAGCCCGGGCCAGGCCAGGCCTGTCTCACTGTCGCGACCCCAGCACACCCCGGTGTACCCCGGCCAGCCCCCTGGGGCGCAAGGCTGGAAGGTTCCTCCCGTGGCGCTCAGCCTCCCTTTCCTGTTCCAGGGAGGAAGAGGAAGACAAGATGCTGGAAGCCATGATCAAAAGGAAGGGTGAGTCTCCTGGGGCCAGGGGTTCTGCACTTGAGCTCGGGTTTTCAGCCTGGGGCTGGAGCGTGAGGGGCAGGTTGGATGTACGGCTGGAGCAGGTGTCATGGGAGTTGTGGGGTGCGACGTGCCAGGCTGCTTTCCTGGGACAGCACCTCAGGCAGGCAGACCTTGGCCCATCCTTGCAGGGTAGCCCTGGGCCCAGCTGCCCACAGGGTACTTTCCCACCGTGGGTGTGCTGGCCTTGTGGCCGGTTCCTCCTGACACCTGCAGATTGGCTGGGGCGGGTCTGCAGGTCATGACAGCAGTGGCTGCTTGCGGCTACCTGTGCCTGGAATACTGCAGGGTACTGGCTTGACTCGGTTTCTATCCTTGTGGGTGTCTGGGTGACTTTCAGCTCTCCTGCACCCCCTCACCTCTGTGTCTGCAGAGCAGAGTCACGGGGCACCCCTCTCCTGTGTGTGCTAATTATAGAGACAACCTCTGTAGTACGCTTAGCCCAGGCCTGGCGCCTGCAAAGAGCTCAGCTGAGATCAGCTCACTTCAAAGGCCTGCATTTTCTCTCTTTGGAAAATTGGCAGTTATAGCAAGGGATAAGGTCTGAGTTCTGCTGGCTCTGGTGGTCGGTGTTGGTGTCAGGGCCCAGTCTAGGAAGAGTGAGCTTTTGAGCATGCAGTGTGACATGTTGGGGTTGCATAGACACAAATCTCCTGTTTTTTGCCAGAACAGTAGGAGAGGGCGGTCCCCACCCTCTAGGGAAAAAGGAGACGGAACATGAAAGGACTTGCCTAAGGTTTCCCAGGAGGCAGGCGGCTGGGCTGGGCCAAGCTCCCACTGTCCATACCCCTGCTCAGTGACGCAGATCGCTGACCCCACCTTTCCTGGAGGAACCAGTCCCCTGGCCCCCGGTAAAGCGCGCCCTTCCCTTGCTGCAGAGTTCCAGAAGGAGGCTGAATCCGAGGGCAAGAAAAAGGGGAAATTCAAGACCATAAAAGTGCTGAAGATGTTGGGAAATAAGTGTGACACCAAGAGCAAGTCCCCGGGCGACAAGAGCTGACAGTGAGAGGCCGCCGGGAGCCCCTTCTGGGTCCTCACGGGTCAGGGAGCACCGTGCTGCCCTCCGATCAGCCGAGGCCTGAGACCACTGAAGGGCGGGGAGCCTCTGGGTGGCCTCTCCCATCTCAGGGTCCCCGGCTGCTCTGCACCAAAGAGTTGCCTTCCCTCTTCCCTGCACCCAGACAGCGGGGACTCGGCCTGCAGTTGAGTCTGACGTCTCCAGATGCCTTGAGGGACCCAACGAGCAGCCGGGGACCAGGGGCCAGGGAGGGTGGTGGCGGACCCCGTGCACTGCTCGTCCCGCCCTGCCCAGCCCAGCCTCAGGCCTGGCGGGGAAGCTGCTTTGGCGGCTCTCCAACCGACCACACTGGACAGGACTGTGTGACACCCAGTGTCCTTTGTAGGCCTCCGGGCTGCTGCTCCTCGAGGTTGGCCAGCAGCAGGGCTGCCCAATCAGCTTCCTCCTGCCCAGCCAGGACCTTGAGTCTCTGCCTCCTGGCCAGTGCAGGCGCCCTGAATCTCACGCCCCCTTCGCTCAGACGCTCTATTTATGAAGTCTCCAGTTGAGTCTGAGCTGGTTACTGAGTGGTCTATGCTGTGTCAGATGTGAGTGGACCCCATGGGCAAACTCACTGCCTTTGTCTCCCTGAGTTCCAGGGCTCCGTCTCCCCTCTTCCACGGGAAGCCTTACTTCCCACCTCACAGGGCCCTGATGGCTGTGCCAGGGCTGGGGGGTGCCCCTGCTTGCTGCCCCAGTGCTGCGTCCTCAGCAAAGGGCCTTGGGGGGCAGCCCCAGTCGGAGCTCTGGTCCCAGTCCTCAGCCTAGGGAGCTGCGCTTTGGGTAGGTGCTAAGTCTGGTTCTTTAGTAATTCTGACCCCTTTAGGCTTTCCACCCCCTGCCACACTTGGGGGTCCGGCCCATTTCCGTTTGTGGTCATTGCTACTCTGTCTTCTGTTGTCTGTTCTCTCCTGGCTCCTTCCCATCAGAGGACTGATGGCCACCAACCTACGGCGTGGCTGTGGAAGAGGACAATGACAGGGACACCACTTTTGTCCAGGGAATGTGCCCGGCAGCTCTTGGTCAAAGCACTGTTCCATAAACTCTATCTGGGCACTGTGAGCCCCTCCCCCACACACTCGGGGAAGCCATGGCACTGTGTTAATTCCCAGCTGCTCCTCGACAACAATACACGGAGACTCGCCCCAGGGTTCCCGGGCCCCAGCTGTGCCTACTGGCCAGGTATCTCTGTTCCTCAGTGGGGTCTGGGCCATGGTGGGGTCAGTGTCCACCTTGCAAGGGTGGTCACTGCTCTCAGCTAAGTCATTGGTCACTTGGAATCAATGTAAAGCCAGGGGTTCTGGACTGGTTCTGTTTTTCAAAAGAGACGTTTGCGTGTAATTTGTAAATGTTAACCCCTACTCTGAATTTGGCCTGGGGCTCTCCAGTTTGCTACTTCTGGATCTTACAAATGGACTCTGGAGGGCGCGTCCTGTCCCATTCCTGCCTTGGTCCTCAGGTCCCTGAGGGACCGTGACACAGGCCTCCCGTGGATGTTCCTGAGCCAGCCCTGCTCTATTGGCTGCTGCCTGCACGGCCGTGTTTATTCTATAAACCAAAACACGCAGTGCAGGACCTGGCGGACCCACATGCCTGCATCCCAGGGCATCCCTGAGCTGGTAGGGTCAGTTGACACTTGCAAAATATTTTGATTTATGGGGACAGGAGAAATGACAGCTTACCAGAGAGGTTGGGAGGATGGGAACAGGGGGCCTGATGTAGGAGGGGTGGGGCCAGGGCACTGCACAGCTTACGTGGGGACCTCACAGATGTACAGACCACGGCTGAGGTTCTGTGTTGTGTTCAGGGTCGCAGAATGCATGCTGGAGCTGGACCTGCAAAGCCAGGGCCCCTTTAACCTGGGTCCTGGGTCCCCACTCTGCTTCACCCAGGGGACTGCATACAGCAGGAGACAGAGCGCTAACTTGAGGCTTGGAGGCTGCTTGCTGTTTAAAAGCCCTTGGGCTCAGTATCTGGAGCGCCTGCCTTGTCAGGCCTGCTGAGCTACTTAGCTGGCTCGGCACTTCCTGTAGCAAGCGCCAAGGCGTACTTACAGGTGACCCTTCCCGCTGCCTCTTCAGTGTGCAGAGGGGGGGCTGCAGACCACCTGAGCCCCACAATCTACACATGCTCTCAGCCAAGAGGCAGAGAAGTGATTGTACGCCACAAATGCTAGCTCACTGAGCAAGTAAGTGTTATTCCTCTGAAAACGAGGTAGTGCACAGAATGACCCGAGTTAAATATGTTTCATTGGCCAATTAATTGGTGTGGTTAAATGTTCGCCCGGGGTTCTAAGAAGCAGAATACACGGACGGTGGGGAGAAGGCATCTTCAGGCTTGAGTTCAACATTGAAAGGAGTGGGGCACACAGAGGCTGGAGGTGGTAGAGAGCGAGCCTGGGTGCCTGGCCACAAGTGTCCATGGTGCTGAGACCTGTCTTGCTGTCACTGAGAAAAGACTCGAGTCTGTGTGGCTGGGTGGCTCCCCGGCTCCAGCAGTGGCCCCAGCATTCCAGGTGGCATCCAGGGAGGGCCCTGCCTGCCACACACTGTCACAGGCAGGGAGTACAGGTGAACTGCCCTGCTCCATCTCTGGCTGGCTAGGAGGTGACCAGGGCCTTTCTAAGTTCCTCGCTCCTCTTGCGGTCAATGTCTTCCATTTCCCGTATTTTCTGCAAAGGAGTCAGGGAAAGCCAGTGTCGGATGGGCACTGACGGAGCCACCATGATGGGGCCAGAGCTTGAGACCCCCGCCCCCTGTGGCTTTAGCCACAGTGCTCCACGCTGGCGTCCGGCCCACCCCTTCCCCTCGTCGCTGTGGGCGCTCCTACCTGGGAGATCTCGGTGAGGATGATCCCGTGGTACTGCCTGCCCTGTCCCAGGGCCTCCATGGCAGCCAGGAATTCCTTCCTCTCCTGGATCTCCCTCACCACTGGACAGAGGAGGAAGGACATGAGTGCAGGGACTTGGGGGGCAGGGGGTTGCTTCTCTTAGGGAGAGACTGGGGTTCTGCACCAGAAACTGTTTTTTGTTGGCCCCACCCAGTTCCACACACACACTCCCCCACAGGGCTCACGTTCTTCAAACCGGTCCAGCACGGGGGCTGGCTGCTCCTCCTGCACAGCGGGGCCTTTTCTCTTCTGTTCCTTTGGGTCCTTCCCAGTGGCGAAGATATTTTGGAGTCTTTGTTTTTCCTTCTCCAGGTCTCCTGCAGGACCCAGAAATGGCCTTGTTAGGCTAGAAGGGCGCCTGCATCTCTGTGTTTCCAGCCAGGCGTGCTACGGGGTTTCTGTGTCACAGGGAGAGGGCTTAGCAGCTTCACCCCTGAGCACCTACGCTTGTGTGTCAGGGCGAAGGGGAGCAGCAGAAGCGAGGAAGGAGACCGCTGGAACCCATGCATGCACAGCTTTGGTGCAGGCTGAGGCTAAGAAGTCCAGGGTCCTGGGGGCTCAGTGGTGGCACCTGTGTGCTGGGCACTGTGGGGACCTCTCGGGAGGGTCTGGCTGAGTCATGGCACATGTGAGGGAGGAGGTGGGAAGGGGCCTCCGTGAAGTGGGCTGGCACACAGAGGAGCGTGACTCCAGGGACCAGCAGCGGGTGAGAGGAGCAGCAGTGACACCTGACTTGGCTTAGTGGCATCCAGTTACTGACAGTAACAATAGGGGCCAGCCTCACTGGTTCCCCTGACCGTCCCCAAGCTAAGGGCCCAGGCTCTGAAGCGCACATGTGGAGGCTGGAGAATCTGGTCCGATGCCTGCCCGCCTGCCCTGCGGGCTCTTCCCCATGACCCTGGAAGACGGGAAGCCACTACCCAGGCCCTGTCACTTACTGGTGGCTTGAGGCTTGAATTGCTCGCGGGTGTAGGCCCCGTTGGCCTGGCACAGGCTGGCTGGCCGGAGGTGGCAGCGGGTTGTCAGGGTGGGAGGCAGGTAGGTGGCCGAGGCGGGCTGCTTGGCAGGTGAAGCCGTCTGGCTTGATGTTGGGCTGCACTGCAGGGGCAGCGGGTCTCCCCCTGGGGACAGGTCAGCGGCGAGAGGACCTCACTTTTTTGTTTGTTGGATACAGATTCTCGTTATATAGTTCAGACTGACCTTGAACTCATTATGTAGCCCAGGCTAACCTCAAACTCATGGCAATCCTCCTGCCTCAGCCTTCAGGGTGCTGGGATTACAGATGTGTGCCAGCACGCCCGGTTCTTTTTTTTTTCCCTCCCTAAATAAAAGTGATGCCCGCCTGTTATAAGTCAAATGGTGCTGAAGAGCCTTCATGTGCCCCCCAAGCCTAACCTCTGCGAAGAGCCACGGTGGTTTGGCAGTTTCTCCTTCCTTTGCTATGATAAACGTGTTTGGAGATCCATGTGTGTGTATTTTTTATGTGCACACAAGATTGATTTTTCAAAACCCTGGATCCTATCATCTTGTCAATAACTGACCCTTTTCACTCAATAATTTATCATGGACATCTTTCTAGAAAAATCTGTTTACACATAACTTATTTTTATAGCTTAGAATGCTTATATTATTTATTTGCCTGGTGTCCTAGTGTCAGACTTGGGGTGTCTGGGTTTGTCTGTCTGTCTGTCAGTTTCGGTTTGTTTCTCACTCTTCCCAGCAGTGCTGCAGTAAACGCTCTCGTACACCATCGCTGCCTGGTGCTTTTGTTTCTGTTTTACTTCCACTTGAGCCGGGCCAGGGCCGGGAGGGATCGGGCGGGTGGTAACGGGTGCCTGCCATCCTGCTGTGGCCCGTCTTGGTCCATGCCTGGACTCTTTCCCTGACCACGAAGTGGATCCACTCCTGTCACGGTTCTGAGCTCCAGCCTTCTACAGATCCACTCGTCAGATACAGATTCGGCTCCATCTCTGTGCCTGGCCCTGGCCACCATGCCAGTGGGGAGTAGGGCGAAGTCTGGCCTTCCTCGGGCGTATGTCAGGGAGGGTATGGGTGAGAGTGTCGTAAGTGACGCAGTGTTAGATGGCTGGGTCACCAGTAGGTCCCAGTGGGACTTAGTTTTTGTTTGAGACAAGGTCTCACAACGGCATTTAGGCTGGCCTTGAACTCACTATCCCAGGATGGCCTGGAACTCGAAGTGATCCTCCTGCCTCAGCCTTCCCATTGCAGGGATTACAGGTGTGGTACCTCTCCTGGCCAGAACTATCAGTTTTAAAGGGTGACAAGGGCGGCCTTGTGAAGAAAAAGGGGACATCTGAGAAAAGAGCAGAGCTTGCCGGGAGGCCTTCCCTTGGGGAAGGGCCTGCGGGGCAGAGGGACAGCTGGAGTGGAGGCTGGAGGCTCGGGCTTGAGGTGGAGTCGGGGAGGACAGAGATCATGGAGGCCACTGGAGGGGGTGGCCACTGGCTGCCACCAACATCTTGCTCATAGGCAGCAGAGCCCGGAGACCTGTCTTCCAGAGCCATTCAACTAATGTGGAGAGATGCTCGGGCCCCAGCGGCGACAGACAAGATGTGCCCAGGGGTCCAGATGAGGTTGGAAGGCCAGGCATATGGGCTGAGGGAGAGAGGGGCACTGAGGATGACCCCACGGTGTGTGTTCCCAGGAACATCTCGCTGTCTGCCTGACCCTCCTCTGCCCCTCGACTGAGAGCCACGCTGCCATTTCCCTGTCTTCCCTGGAGGGAGACCGAGCTGCCCCGAATGTCCCCTCCTCTGTGCTCCCACTTGTGCCTCTGTCTCCAGCTGTCTCTGCCTCCAATCTCAGCAAGGAGCCCGGGCATGTGGTGCCTGCCACAGTGCCTGAGCCAACCTCAAAGGCATTGGGGACATTGCTTAGTGGCACAGTGCCTGCCTGGCAAGCGTGAGGTGGTGAGTTCAATTCCCGCTACCAAAAAACCAAAAACAGCCCGAAGGGTTTGGGCAAGGTGGGAGGATGTGGAGGGGAACTGCAGGAGAAGGCAGATGACACCAAGGCCTGGGGGCAACTGTTTCACACAAAAACATTCTTTTCATTCTCCTGTAGGCCTAAGCCCTGGTGGCCTGAGTCTCTGTGCAGCCCAGGTTGGCCTCGAACTCATGGTGATCCCCTGCCTCAGCCTCTCCCTGTCTCAGCCTCCCAAATGCCGGGTCACAGGCAATCACCACCAGGCCCAGCTCCTCTGTTACTCTTTAGGGATCAACACCTGCTCCAGAGTTGGGATAGCGAGGCAGACACTGTGGGAGTGGGGGTCTCTGTGGTGATGCGACACAGGACACCTCATTTTAGATTTCTGAGTGCAGAGACTGAGGATTCAAGCGTGTGACGGCACCGACCTCTGGTGGCCTGAGTTGTCCCTGTCCTCAGTGTGGGAGGAGCTCGGACCCTAACCTAGCCCTTCAGCCTCTCCTCCTGCTGGGGCTGGACGGGCACTGCGCACATTGGCCTGTGACTCCCTGTGCCTCTGTGGTTGCTCAGGTGCCTTCCTGGTAGGCACCTGCTTTCCCTAGAGAAGGCGGCAGCGGCTGGGCGTGTCAGCGCACGCCTGTCATCCCAGCCCTCTGGGAGGCCAAAGCAGGAGGATCAAAAGATTAAGCCCGGTGGCTGGGGGTTTAGCTCAGCGGCATGAGCACCTGCCTTGTAAGCAGGCAGTCATGAGTTCGATCCCCGGTACCGAGAAAAAGAAAAAAAAAAAAGAAGTGTAAAGAAAAAAAAAGTTTCGGGGGATGTAGCTCAGTGTGGAGGGCCTGAGTATAATCCCAGTATCAGAGAGAGAGAGAAAGAGGGAGAGGTCAGGTCATCTGATTCTGAGTGTAGAATTTCACTCAAGCTACCAAAAACATCTTTTCTCTTTCTCTTTTGGTATTCAAGTGAACCTTGAGAGCTCAGACCTTCTGGTATTCTGTCTCTCTGTCTGTCTCTGTCTTTCTGTGTCTGTCTGTCTGTCTCTTGCTCTCTATGCACGAGATTGAACATACTAGGCAAGTGTTTTACCCTTGAGCTCAACCCTCAACCCTTTTTAAACATACTTTTATTTTGAGGCCAGGTCTTGCTAAATCGCGTAGGCTGGCCTCGAACTTGGGACCTTGCTGCCTCAGGCTCTTGAGTATCCAGGATTACAGTGTGCCACTGCATTCAGCCTGTAGCTTCTCCCTTGAAGGCAGCCCCAGAGATCTCTGTCCTGATCCACCAAATGTTGAAGCAGGTAAGCCAGAGGAAGCGAGGTCACTTCCCAGATCTGAGAGGGCACCTGGCTTTTACACTTTCACTTTTTTCTTTCCTTTTAAAGTAACTCAGGGCTGGCTATGTAGCTCAGCAGTGCGGTGCCTGCCTGGGAAGCATGAGGCCCTGAGTTCGGTTTTTCATACCAAATAAATAAATAGTAAATAACACAAAGCTCAGCGAGGGGGAGCTGCGGAAAGGCTTTGCACAGTTGTCCTGAGTTGGAGTTCAGCCACTCATCTTGTTTCTGAGAGCTAAGCTGTAGCCCAGTAAAACCACAAGTCACACGCTCACAGGCTGCCTTTGGAGGGCTCATATGTCTATGTCAGGGCGGGTCAGACTGCAGGCCCCACAGCACTGAGACTACTTGGGGGGCAGCTTGGGGGAGTCTGGACTGGGCTCAGATTCCCCAGGAAGCTCAGCCAGAGCCTGACTGCAGGAGCTTATCATGCCAGGATCCTGAGCAGAAAAGGCAAAGGCCTCACGGGGTGTAAAGGCCAGAAACACTTGGTATACTCCTTTTTTCTGTCTGTCTTTAAAATGATGTCCTAGGGCTGCGGATGTCGCTCAGTGGCACAGGTGCCTACCTGGCAAGCACAAAGTTCTGAGTTTGATTCCTGATACCAAAAATAGATAGATAAATAAATAAATAATAAAATTTAAAAAATGTTTTCTCTCCCCCTTAACATGGAAGCACACACAGGGCTGGAACTATATCTCAGCAGCAAAGTGCCTGCCTGGCAAGTGAAAGGTTGTGAGTTTGATCCCCTGTACAAAAAAAACAAAACAAAACAAAACAAAACAAAACAAAAAAACCATGAAAGAGCATAAAAACGGTGGCTGGACCCCTCTGGCCAGGGAGCCTCTGCTGACCGGTTGCCTCTGACTTTTTTTCTTTGTTTGGTCTTTTTGAGATACAGTCTCGCTATGCAGTTCAGGCTGGCCTTGAACTCACTTTGTAGCCCAGGTTGGCCTCAAACTTGTAGCAATCCTCCTGCCTCAGCCTCCCGACTCCTGGGACCTCTTACTTTTTATGGTGTCCATGATGTGGCGCTGCTGGAAGTTAGTGAGCTTCGATTCCTTCATCATAGCTGCAAGAGTAAGCACGTCTGTGAGGCTCCCTTCCCCTTCCCCTTCCCCTATCACCTCCTGCCTCCATTCTGCACTGAGAGCTGCCTGTCTCTCCCTTCACTTTTTCTATGGCACATGTCTTTACCTAATTTGATTTTTTGAGGGCTGGGGTCTGTAACTCAGTGCAGTGCCTGTTAGACAAGGACAAGACCCTGAGTTTGATTCCCAGTACCCCACCCCACCTTTTTTTTTTTTTTTCTTAAGATGGGATTTTGCTGTATTGCCAGGTTGACTCAAGGGATACTCTGCTTTTTTTTTTTTTTTAAATGATACTGAGGATTGAACTCAGGGCCTTGTACATGCTAGGCAAGTGCTCTATCACTGAGCTACATCCCCAGCCCTGCTGCTGTTTTATATGAAGCTAATTTTTTAAACTTTTATTTGCGTTTATTTCATGTTTAATTTATTCCCGTGCCCTAAGTTTTTGTTTCTTCAGTTTCTTCTGGGATATTGTTTTCTTCTGTGTAGCTTTCTCCTCTGGTTTAGGCACAGTTTGTTCCTTTTCAGGAAGGATCCTCTCGCTGTGGCAGGGGGAGCTCATGTGTGGGTGAATCTGGCCCTGAGCTCTGTAAGTACAGCGGCACATCTTGGGTGCTTTGTTCACCTGGTTATATTCAGTAACAGAGAATCTACATCTAAACCCTTCGGTTCAGCATTACTCTCTGCATTTTTAAACACGCGCAGCAAAAATTCAGCACTCTTTTTGGGCCACGGACCCTGGGTCCAGCCCCATCACTTGGCCCGAGCTAACCTACCAACTCCACCATCGTAACGCCAGAGTGGCACACATTGCTTCTCTAATGTGACATCCTTCAGATATTTGGTGGCCTTCCTATATACGTATCCTTCATGGCCTGGGCAGTTTCATGGATGTTCTTAAAGTGAACACAAAGATTTGAGCATCTTGATTTGCATGATTTTGTGGGGTTTTCTGGGTCAAGAGAGTAGCAAGCCATTTTCACAGGTGACCTCAGGTTGCTTACAGGAAGAGCTACAGTAACATTTTCTTTCTTTTTGAGACAGGGTCTCCCTGGGCGGTTCAGGCTGGACTTGAACTTACTTTGTAGCCCAGGTTGGCCTTAAACTCACAATGATCCTCCTGCCTCAGTCTCCTGAGTGCTGGGATTACAGGAGTATGCCACCATGACTGGCTAAGGTTCCATTTTAAAAAATATTTTATTTTTGATGTGTATGTGTGGTGCTGGGGATTGAACCTAGGTTCTCAGGCATGTTAGCACGTACTCTACTTCTGAGTTATTCTAAAATAAAAATACGTAGCCAGTCCTACGTATTTTTACTCTTATTCCCTACTCTAATATTAGCTCTGTAACAGCAAGAACTTTGGCAGTTTTCTGTTTTTCCATTGCTGTCCCCCAAGTACCCAAAGCACATGGTAGATTTAAACATTTTTTATCTGATTAAAGGAATATTTATTCACTCATGTGCCTAGGTAGAAGCTACAGTTATGAGTAGAAACAGTCACAGTCCTGCCTGATAGAATTAATCATTTAGGAGCCAGGTGTGGGGGCACATGCCTGTAATCTTAGCTTTCGGGAGGTTGAGGCAGGAGGATCACTGCAATTTCAAGGCCAGTTTGGGCTCCATAGTGAGTTCAAGCACAGCCTGAACTACATGGGGAGAACTTATCTGGAAAAAAAGAAAAAATGGCCAGATATGGTGGTGCATGCCTGAATCCTAGCATGTGGGAGGCTGAGGCAGGAGGATTTCTGTGAGTTCAAGGCCAGCTTGCACTCCACAGTGAGTTCAAAGTCACCCTGAACTACACAGTGAGACCCTGCCCCCCCCCCAAAAAAAGAGAAAGAATTCAACTTCTAGGGGGCAAATGTGACACAAAATGCCTAAGTGTACATTGTTCTGAGCCCAGTGAAAGGAAATGTATTCGGTAGTGTGCAGATGGCCATGTAACAGCTGGTCCCCCTGTGGTGATGATAGGAGGAAGAGGAAGAGAGGGAGGCAGAAGGGGAAGGGTAGGAGACAAAGTTTCTGTGGGAATGCTGACACTGTATTGTAAAGGATTCACAGAAAATTGGACCCTAGCATATACCTATGATCCCAGCACTTGGGAAGCTGAGGCAGGAAGACCGCAAGTTTGAGACCAGCTGGGACTACAAGGTGAAAACTTGTTTCAAAAAGGAGGGGTGGTTGGGGATTTAGCTCAGCAGCATAAGCACCTGCCTAGCAAGTGTGAGGTCCTGAATTCAAACCTTGGTACCAAAAAAAAAAAAAAAAAAAGTAGGCGTTAACTATTCCAAAATTCTTAGCGCTTTGACTTTTGGTCAGGATAGGCAATATTCTGAACTTTCTGAACTCCTTATTTGTGAGGGGAAACAGCCATTCCCAAGCCACTGGACAGGTAGGAGCGAACTGAGTTTACACAGGAGGCTGTTATGGCCACTCCTCTCCTGCGTTCTGTACACTCCTAGCCCTCTAGTCCACTGACCTTTGAGCAGATCGCGGGTTCCTGGGGTGTAAGCGGCCGGCTTGGGGCAGCACCCAAACCCTGTTCTTGTCGTCACAGTCTCCACCCTGTCCTTCGAAGCCATTGGAGGGCCCTAGGAGGGAAAGATGCAGTGATATACCTCCCGTCTCTTGGCCCAGATATCGCCTTCATCCTCCCAGTTAAGCAGACACACACACCGAATCCTCATCCTGACGCCCGATGTCTGTGGCAGACAAGTCCCCTGGAAGGAGAAAGCGGTAAAAGAGCCTTGATCACACAAAATCTTACCCTGAAGACCTCGACTAGACGCGCCCCTTCTTACATAGAGTACCCGCGCCCGGCAAAGATAACTTGGGATCCCGACTACCAGCACTTGTTGTTAGGGCCTCTGGTTACCATGGCAACAAACACTGCAGTTCTGCGCACGCGCCAGATGTTTTCCGGAAGTGATTGCCTTAGGGTCACAGCGCAGGCGCAGGATACGCGTGGTGTGGCGCGAGGGAGAGGCGCGCAGTTTGCGGGGTCTCTGCGCGGCTCTGCCGGCGAGGTTGCGGCGAGTGCGTCATGTCAGACAACGAGGACAAGTGAGTACATCCTCAGAGTGGCGTTTGCGAGGCAAGTGAGGGGAGTTGGGTCTTGAGGGGCCCGGCGGAGCTGAAGGAAAGAATGGGACTTACTCAGAGGTTGGACCCCGAAAGGCTTGGGCTCGAAAGTCCAGGTTGGGTCAGTGGTCTTTCTACAGACCCACCGAGCGGGCTCAGTCGGGCAGTGGGAATTCGGTATTGAGAGGAAGACAGGGTTGTGTGAGTTTAGTAGAGCTGAACGGGCGAGGTAACAAGTAATCCGGAGGACGATCTGGGAGGGCTTCCTCGGGGGTGATGGTCTGGGGTGCTAGGGAAATCAGGGTCTCGTACATGGCGATAGCAGGGGAGGTGATGAGAGATGGGTATATTTTAAAGGCAGAGCCAAAAAGATTTCCTGATGGGTTGGAAATGTGGAGTCAGTGGAGAGATGGATCCTTAAGATAAAAACATGGGGAGTCTTTAGCAAACCCGAAGATCCCGAGGGCAGCGAGAGCCCGTAGAGAAGAGGGGGTGATGGCAAGTGTTCGGACAGCCCAGCCTTAAGGGAAAAAGGACAGTCCCCCAATGAGATGGCAGGAGAGTGTTTTATTTGTGTATTTATTTATTTATTTGTACCGGGAATCGAACTCTCCCCCAATGAGATGGCAGGGGAGTGTTTTATTTGTTTGTTTGTTTGTTTATTTGTACCGGGGATCGAACTCTTGACCTCGCGCTCGCCAGGAAGGCGCTTATGCCACGGAGCTAAATCCCCAGCCGTTTTGTTTTTTTGAGAGTCCTATTTTGTAATCCAGTCAGGCCCTGAACTCACTATGTAGCTCAGGCTGGCCTTGAACTTTCTGGGATCCTCCTGCCTCAACCTGCTGAGTGTTGGGATTACAGGCCTGTGCCACCACCCCCGGCAGGAGAGTATTTCATGGGAAGGAAGGAGGGGCCTAAAGTGTAAACTGGCCAAGCTGAATGAGAGTAACAATTGCCTACTGGATTTTGCTGAATTTAGCAAAATGGAGATGATTAATTATTTTGAAAAGAGTGGTTTGCTGGAGCCTTGGGAGTGAAGATCTTAGGGGAGAACTTGTGAATGGGAAGAGAGGAGCTGGAGACAGTGAGACTGGATAGCTTGCTGGGGAAAAAAATTTTTTTTTGGTACTGGGGATTGAACTTGGGGTCTTCACACTGAGCTATATCCTGGCCCTTTTTTATTTTTTTATTTTTTTAGTCTCTTTCCTTTTTATTGGTACTGGGGATCAAACTCACGACTGCCTGCTTGCAAGGCAGGCACTTATGCTGCTGAGCTAAATCTCCAGCCCCCACTTTTTTATTTTTTGAGATAGGGACTTGCTAAGTTGCCCAGGCGGCACTTGAGTTTGAGATCCTTTGGCTTGAGTCTCCTAGAGTGCTGGGATTACTTACATGTGCTGCCTTGCCTGCCTTTATTCACAAAGCTTGCTGCAAAAGGGAAAATGGAACAGGGCTGCTGGGGAAGGAGAAGTAAGACATCTCTTGCTGGTGGTGGGGACTGAACCAGGGCCTCGGACATGCTAAGCACATGTTCTCCCATTGAGCCACACTCCTAGCCCCAAAGTGAGGGAGTTTTGTTTGTTTGTTTGTTTGATACAGGGTTTTGCTAGGCAGCCAGGCTGTCCTTGACTCCTGGCTTTTAAGTGGGTGTTTATCGAGTGCCTGCTGTATATCAGCTGACGCACAGATCCATGCCTCTTTGATTCTAATAAGCAATTGTTATCCTCTGTACAGTTTTGATGGTGATGACTTTGATGACGTTGAGGAGGATGAAGGACTAGATGACTTGGAAAATGCCGAGGAGGTCAGTGTTCAGCTTGTTACGGTTTATATCTTGATGTGCCCCAGGAGCCTTATTCATTAATAGATAGGGCTATTAGAAGGTGGTTGGATTATCGGGGTTTATAATTGACCTTCAGTGGGAGGTGGGGTTTGGTTGGGAGAGGCGGTCACTATATAGGTGACGCTGGCCTTGAACTTACTGTGTAGCCTAGACTGGATTTGAACTCACAGTGGTTCTCCTGCTTCAGCCTCCCAAAGGCTGGGGCTGTTTCCTCTTGACTTCTCCTCAAGGCTGTGACTTCTCAGAGATTGGAAACTTGGTGTTGTGTCTCAGCACCTGTTGCAGTACCCTGGCTCAGGACTGGCACTTAATAAGCAGTTGTTGGATGTGTGGATATATAACTCTTCCCACTTGCACCCTTGGCCCACTGGGTCAGTTGCCATATCTGAGGATGGGTGTTCGTGCTCATGGACGATTCACAGGGTGCATTCTGGGACCGACTGTCCCATTGCCAGGCCATTTCTGTCTCTTCTGGATGAGCCGCTGGTGTGAGTCGTGATTCCTCTCAGTGCCTTGGTCTGAGGCTGTGGCCCAGGCAGCTGGAATCCATGCCTCCCCCCAGGTTATCGTGAGACCCTCACGAGGAGTTCTATGTCCCTGGCATCCAGCATTAGCATTGATAGTAGTGGTTGTCATTGTCACTGCTACCTCACCCCCCAAAAACACACCCTGAGATTTTCTTTGTTCTGTCTCTGTGCAGGAGGGCCAGGAGAATGTGGAGATCCTTCCCTCCGGGGAGCGGCCACAGGCCAACCAGAAACGAATCACCACCCCGTACATGACCAAGTACGAGCGAGCCCGAGTGCTGGGGACCCGAGCACTCCAGATCGCGTGAGTGTGAACCCTCACTGTCCCCTTCAACATGCAGCCCACAGCGAGGCCCTGAGCCACTGACGCTGCCCAGCCTGGACCTGAACACAGGCCTTTGTGCTTGCACATTGGAACGGAGTGGGGCTGGACCCTGGCCCACAGGGAAACATGAGAGGGTCTGAGAAATCAGATAGCAGTGTGAGAGGACACAGTGATAAACACAGAACAAGGTGATTGCCCATCAGGTTGGTAAAGTGAAACAGGTGTGTGAATTATGAGAGTCCTGGACGGTGTGTGCTGACAGTCAGGTGGACAGCGGTAGCGCTCTGCAGGCCACAGCTGTTTCGGATTTGTTTTATTTTTGTGGTATTGGAGATTGAACTAGGATCTTCACACACAGTTACATCCAGTCCTTCTTTTTTTTTTTTTTTTGCATTTTGAGACAGGGTCTTGCTAAGTTGCCCAGGCTGGTCTTGAACCTGCAATCCTTCTGCCTCAACCTCCTAAGATGCTAGAATTAGAGGCATGTGCTATGCTGTTGTATCTGTTGTTGTTGTTGTTTTGTGTTTTGAAGCAAGATCATAATTTATTGCTCAGGCTGGCTTCAGACTTGTAATCCCAAGCGCTGGGGTTAAGGTGTGTACCGCCATGCCTAGCTTTTTGGTGTTTTTGAGAAAGGGTTTCCCTGTGTAGTCCAGGCTGGCCTTGAATCCATAACCCTCCTGCTGTGAGTTTTGATTGGGGTGCAGGTATGTCTGCCACCGCTGGCCTGAAGCTGGTCATCAACGTGAGGGAAATGCCAGCCTAGCAGGGTGGGGAGGAGGCTCTAAATTGAAAGCCTGGGTAGGCTCCTGGGGAATCAGAAACTAGGCTTTCCTTTTCTCTCAAGTTCAGGAGAGCAAGATCCAAAAAGAGACAACAGACAGAGAGATAGGCTGGGACTGTGGTCACCTGTCAGCATGGCCACATGTTAGCACAGGCCACGTGCCCATCGAGGTGGCTGATGCGGTGGAGAGCAGATGGGGGCAGCCTGCTGCAGTCCACTGGCTGGCTCCCTCTCCAGGAGGACAGGTGGACAGAGGCAGGGCTGTTAGCGTACCCCAGGGGGAGGTCCTTCAGGGGGTCCCAGAGGCCTAGGAAAGGGCTCCTGCCCCACTCCCCTTGCAGTCCTCTGTGGGAGAGGCAGGCGGTCCCGAGACGGGTGGCTAAGCAGTGGACAGGGCGTTTGTGTAGGAAGAAGAGTGGCCCAGATGTGCTGGGGCAGTGGCATTGCTGCCCTACTGTGTTCGCAGCACCAGACCCCCCTGTGTCCCTGGGTGGAGCTGACCACCCCTTCTGCCTTGCCGAAGGCTGCCAAGGCTGGGCTGTACCGTTCTCCAGTTTCTCGGCGGCAGGCTTTGTGTGGACCTGGTTGTGCTCCTGGCCTCTCTGGTGAGGTTAGAGCTGCATTTGGTGCTGCTTGAGTCAGGGTCTTGTGGTCCTGCACCCTCAATGGTAGTCACTACCTCCATGTAGTTATTTAAATTAAGCAAATAACAGCGGAATGTGGAGGTGCACGCCTGCAATTCTAGCTGTGTGGGAAGCTGAGGCAGGAGAATCACAAAGTTGAGACCCTGTCTCATTATAAAGTAAAGAGAGCTGAGATGTGGCTCCGTGGTAGAGCCAGTGTGAGGGGCGTGGGTCCATTCCCCAGTACTGCAGTCAGTCCGAGAAGTAAATAAAGAAGTAAGTAAGTAAACAGTAAGTCAGGGCTCTGTTCGCTGGCTGAACTCCGAGTCCTTAGCAGCTCCCCGAGGCTCACGGTTACCGGTAGCCGGGGTGGACAGCGTGCCACAGCGCATCTCAGCTGGCCGAAAATGGGCACTGGGGAGACTCATTCCTTTTTTGTGTGTTTTTGAGGCAGGGTGTCGCTGTGCAGTTCAGGCTGGCCTTGAGCTCACTTGGTAACACAGGCTAGTTTCTAACTTGTGATAATCCTTCTGCCTCAGCCTCCCAAGTGCTGGAATTACAGGCATGTGCCGCCACGCCTGGCTCTTTTTTTGTTTTTTTTTGACACAGGGTTTCGCCACATAGTCCAGGCTGGCCTTGAATGCACTGTGGAGCTCAGGCTGCCCTTAAACTCACGGCCGTACTCCTGCCTCAGCCTCCCAAGTGCCTGGATTACAGGCGTGTGTCACCGTGCCCAGCTAAGACTCATTCTTGAGTTTGCTTCTTTATTAGTCAGTCTTCCAGCGGTGAGGCACTGTGCTGGCACCTTTCAAGGGTGTAGAAATGTCATCCACATTCCCCCTGGTGTACTCTTGTGGGACAAATGAACCTGTGCACATATTCAGGACCCAAGGCACAGATGGGTGGCACTTTACAGAGGGGTCATATCATGCAGGGTGAACAAAGAGAGGTGGCTCTGTGGGTGTCCCAGGCCCCAGACAGGCAGTGTGAGTTACATGGGAGACAGCTTTGGGCAGTGCTGAAAAGATGTCTCCAGCGCCTGGAGGGAAGGGTTTTTTGAGACAGGCTCTCACTATGTAGTGCAGGCTGGCCCTGCACTTACTGTAGCCCGGGCTGAGCTCAGATCCTTGGGAACCCTCCTTCCTCAGCCTCCCCAGGCTTGTGCCTCCACACCCTGTTTAAGCAGCGTTCTTGGTTAGGTTTTGAATGAAGCTTCAGTCTGGTTCCTAGCACCATCTGGTGGCTGAGGTGTTTGTTGCACTGACTGCCTAACTCCATGGCTAGGGACAGGTTAGTGTAGTCAAGGCCCACCGCTGTGCTTTGCTAAGGCCACCAGCCTAGTAGGCCTGGGCGAAGGAGTGACCTTAAATTATTGATTATTGAAAGAAGGCCTGGGCAGAGCAGTATTTTGCCACACTGTTTAAGGGTTTATACTTAACCTGCATTTATTTCATCTCTTTTTCTTGTGGTTGGAGTTCAAACTCAGCGCCTCACACTTGCCAAAGCATGTGCTCCGCCACTGAGCTACACCCCCAGCCCTGGGGACATTTCAGTACTTGCTGAGAACAGACACGGGAAAGCTGAACACTTAGTCTCTCCCTTGGGAAGCCTGCAGGCTTGAGAGTAATCCGAATCAGAATACTCAGTAAGAAAATCAGGAAGAGGCGGCTGTCAGACCGGCTGATGGTCAGAATCATCCGAGCAACTGCGCAGCGTCAGGCCCTTCCTGAGAGATCTGCCCGGAGGGTCTGGAGAGAGACTCGTGGAGCCTGGTGATAGCATCCAGGTCCACTGTGACCCTTGAGTTGGAACAACCAGGGCGGCTTCCTGGAGGAGGAGCTTAGCATTAGCATTCCCAGCTTGTGAGGGGACCTCTGTCGTGGGTTAGGTGCACAAGGGTCTGAGCCACCTGGGGATCTGAGGTCACCCGGAGCTTATGGCCCACGGTGGATGGTCCCCACTGAGCTTGGCACTGAGAGCAGCAGATGCAAATGAGTGGTATGTGGCTGATGGGTGCCCCCAGCCTCCCCCAGGCCTTTTTGCTGAGGAAGAGCTCTCAGAGGACTCGGGAGGGGCGCAGCATGGAATGTCCGGGTGCCATCGTCTGTTCATGGGACTGTAACCAAGTATCTGAGGCTGTGTGCATGGCAGAGCCCCCACCTGGTGACAGGGAATAAGCGTGCCTGCCAGGCTCCGGCCTCTGTCCTCTTCTATAGAGCCACTCATGCCATGAGGGGCCCCACCCTCATGCCCTCCTCTGATGTTGTGGACATACAAATTTGGGGGACACTGTGTTTTTTTGTTTTTTGGGGGGTTTTTTGCCTTTTTGAGACAGTGTCTTGCTGTGCAGTTCAGGCTGGCCTTGAGCTCACTTTGTAGCCCAGGCTGGTCTCCAACTCGCAATGATCCTCCTGCCTCAGCCTCCCAAGTGCTGGGATTACAGATGTAAGCCATCATGCCCAGCCTGGGGAACACTTTGAATCAGCACTGGGAACCTGAAATGTGGGGTGAGCATAGGGAAGTAGCAGGAGAAGGTACTAAAAGGGTGACCTGATGGTGCTGGCAAGTCTCCTGAGGACTGAGTAGTGGGCGCTGGAGAGGAGCGGGCTGAGGAGAATGAGCCCTGGGGGCTGGGCTGCGAGGGAAAGGAGGCGAGGCGGGCAGCTGCACTGAGGCAGAGCAGAGGCCCCCTGCTGGATGTCTGCTGGGGCCCCTGCGCTCCACGTGCAGTCGGTGTGTATGTGTGGGGGGTTCGGGTTTGTGGCACAGAACTGGTGTGTCACTGCTTTGTGGCCTAGTGATGAGAGCTTGTGCTTGTCCCATCGATGGCACCTTTCTTTAGTTAGTTAATTTATTGTGTACCAGGAATTGAACTCAGGACTTGGGCCTTGCCGGGCAGGCTGCTGAGCTGCATCCTGTTTTTAGCCTATAGACTAGCTTACTGCAGTAGCTTACTGCACGGCCTGTGTGACAGCACAGTGGTTAGGGGCGTGTGGCGTTCACCTAGTGGCTCTACCCCTTACTGGCGGTGTAACCTTGGGCAAGGAACTGGCCTGCCTGTGCCGGTGACCTCCCTGGGAAAGGGCAGTGAAGCCAGCGCTCACTGCTGAAGGGAAGGTCGCGGAGAGTTCCCGAGAGCAGCGCACGCCTCTAGAGTCTGTGCTAGCAGGCGCTGGGGTTTGCACCGTGCTAGGCAGGTGCTGAGTGTTTTCTGGATGTTCGGACAGGAGTACTGAGGTTTGGAGGGAGGTCAGCCTAGAGGCACAGTGGAATCCAGCTTGCTGGCTCCTGGTTTAGAGCTGTGTGCCGGGGATGGGCCTGTGGCTATCAGATAGCGGAGGACCTTGCTCGGTGCCTCCCAGGACGCCAGCCCCGCCCTGGGTTCCCTCTTCCCCCTCACATCCCCTGTGCCTGCAGGATGTGTGCCCCAGTGATGGTGGAGCTGGAGGGGGAGACGGATCCGCTGCTCATCGCCATGAAGGAGCTCAAGTGAGTCCCTGCTCCAGGGCACCGGGTCCTGTGGATGCTGGTCCACCGGGAGGGAGGAGGAAGCGAGAGGGGACGGGGCGGGCACTGCTGAGGCTCGGCCCTCACGCACTGGCTTCTCCCTACAGGGCCCGGAAGATCCCCATCATCATCCGCCGCTACCTGCCCGACGGGAGCTACGAGGACTGGGGGGTGGATGAGCTTATCATCACTGACTGAGCCTCGGAGCTGGCCCGGCCCCGGGCCTTCGCCTGTTTCTAGCCTCACTTTATACTTGTACATAATAAACTGTTTAACCTCTGACCCCTCCACCTCCAGCTGTCTGTGGTGCCACCACCTGCTGCCTGAGCACGCACTTAGCGCCACGGCCCCGTGACTGTCAGCTCTTTAAGAAGCGCCCGGGCCCTTGGCCCCCATGGGTCTCCACATCCCTCCCTCCGAGTCCCCTTCCCCAGAGCAAAGGCTGCTGCAGGGGAGACACCTCAGCTGCCTTCCCAGCAGACAGACGGGTCTTTGTGCCCAGGGAGCTGGTTGCCACGGAAACCCCCAATTTCCTTTCCAGTGGGGACTGGCTACAGGGGCTTCTCCCTTCTCAGGAGTATCACAGAGCAGGTCTCATCAAGCCACCCATTGTTTCCTAAGGACCTGCCTCGAGCCTTATCGAGGGCTCGGATCCCCTTTCAGGAGCAGCGCCCCAGCAGGAAGCGCGGGGGTGCAGTGATCTCCCACCCTCCCCAGCACAGCCCAGGCAGCAGCTGGAGCAGGACGGAGCACCTGCTCAGCCCTGGGCCTGGCCCACTTCTCAGGCCACTGCCACACGCTGCCCTCCGTGGCCTGTCTCTGGCCCAGCACACCTGTGCCCTCTCCTTCCTGGCCCTGTACAGTGTCTTTGTTCTCCTGTGGTCCTCAGGCCTGGGCTGAGCTGGCACAGCCCAAGTTCAGCCCAGGAGCTCCCCTCCTCTGCCTGGGGCTTCTCTTCACCCTGCTAAAGGAGGACACTCACACTGGCTCCTCCCTCTCCTGGGGACAGGGAGAGGGTGTATGTGGACACCAGCTTAGATGGAAGGGAAGATTGGCTCCCAAATATGCCAACCTGACCTCCATCCGCTGCCAGCTCCCTGGCAAGGGGGAGGAGGAGCCGGGCTTGCCTGGCCTGCAGGAGGCAGTGCCCTCTGGGATGGCACCCGGATGAGGCAGGAAGGATGAGTGGCCCAAAGGTGGGCGGGTGCTGGCTGCTTCGGAGAAGGGTTAACCCAGGGAGGGTGGACTTCGCACCCCTGCCACCCTCCTCCGAGCCTGTGGAATCCTTTAATCAAGTTGGGTGCTGAAATTTCAGCTCTGAAACGCCGCCTTTGTGCTGGCATCCAGGCAGCCGCCCCAGAGTGCGGGGGTCACTTTCTCGGCCCCATTTCTCTAAATGGTCTCTTTGTTCCCTGCTGGGCCGCTCAGTATCAGATGTGATTAAAGGGAGATGGGGCTTGGGCTGGAGAGGAGGGGGGTTAACCCTTAGGGGATGGGGTGTAAGGAAAAGGGAGGAAGGGGTGTGTTGGCGCTCACCTCCTCTTTCCCCTTGTGCTCCTCCTTGGGGGCCCCTGACTCAGCTGCCCAGCTGGGCCTGCCCTCTTGAATATGAGGTCACCTGCTACCACTCGGCTCTGCATTCCCTTAAGTTTGGACCTGGGCTCCGCAGTCCCTTCCAGGAGCACCTGCTGCTCCTTTTTGCAAGTGGAGCCGCCCCGGCACTGAGGCCCACACTCACCCAGAGCTGTTATCTAAGGGGAGACACAGCCCCGTCTGCTGACCTCTCCACGGTCGTTTGTCCTCTCTGGACCCATTTCACCTCCATGTCACAGGGTCCCACAGGTGCTAGTTTCACCTGGATGCCACCTGTCCCTCTACCCTGCCAACTCTATGTCAATCACAGTGCCCTGAGAGCAGGAGCTGTGAACAGACCGGAAGTGGACAGGTGTCCTGACTTTCAATGAGAGGAAGTGAGAGGTGCAATTTAGGAGCATACAAGGTCAGCACTGACCGGTCCAGGTCGGAATTCTAGGACAGGTTATTTCATGTTTGACAGCACCGAGATGATCAGGTGGAGACCCAGAGCTGGCGTGGTCCTGAGAGGCCTCAGCATTGCATCAGCTTCTCTTTTCCCCAGTGGTTTCTGGTTTTGTGGGTGTAGAGAATGCCACAGATCAGGGACTCTAATTTTGGTGAGTTGCAGGGCAGTCTCTGGGTGGCCATGATGCATGGAGAAGTGGGGTTTGATGGTGGTGTCATGAGGTACTTTGTGAACTTCCTAGCCTGCCCCGAAGGGTACAGAGAAGAGAATGGATGGGGAGAGCTACTTAGTGATAACACGCAGGGCCCTGTCCCTCTTCTTTTGACCTTTATTATTGGCTCAATTAGGAATTTTAAAAAATCCATAAAATTGTAGAGGAGAGCTAGGTTCCAAGATTTCATATAGTTAGGTAAATGGGTCAACTTCAATCAGACAGTCTGTCAGTGGTCAGAATAAGAGAGGAGAGCACCATAGGCAGCTTAAATACAGTTTAGGTGCTCAGACCTCACAGCAGACAGTGAAAGAGCTTCCAGTCACCAAGCTGCCTAGAGTCAGCAGCTTTCGGGAGTTGGCCTGAGGACGATGCTGGATGCAGCTTCCAGGTGAAGGGATCCCACCACCCCAGGGGGACTGAGTTAGTTACCAGTGTCCATCCTGCCCTGGTCCTGACCAGGCGATAGGGCGCTGGGGACCACAGAGGTGTGCAGTCTGCAGGAGCAGATTTTAAGCTTCACAGTGGAAGCGGAAGTAGAGGCTGGTGCAGGTGGAGAGGAGGGTGTTTGAGTGCCAGCCTTGGCCTCAGAGCTGGGTGTAGACTCTGAAGCCAGTGCTTCTGAGATCCAACCTCAGAAATTGGAAATAAGGCTGGAACATGCCCCCCGAGTCCTGAGTGACAGACACGGTGCACAGGGCTCCTTGACCCGCTAGCACACAGTGCGTGACCGCCCTCCTGATTGCCATGAGAGTTTCCAGCCATCTGAGCTGCCCGTCAGTACCGCAGGGGAGGGAGGTTGCCTGTCCTGGGTTACACACTGGCAAGGTGGGCTGGTTCCAGGCCCCTGCTGAGGACACAGCTCTCAGGGAGTGCGTACTGAGGGGCGACACTGCACATACCGCATCCCTGCTTTAGACCTGTTCAGGTTGAGTTGGGGAAGCTTAGATAGGCCCGGCATGGGCCAGGGTGTGTGTACCTGTGCACACACGCACGCGCACACACACGGGGGAGGAGCAAGTAGAAGCATGTGGCAACAGTCCATTTGCACAGCACATGTTTTTTGTTTTTTTTTAAAAGATGGTCTTGCTGTGAGGCCTAGGCTGGCCTTAAATGTCCTGCTTCGGCCTCTTGCTTGCTGAGATTACAGGCATGCGCCCAGCACACATTTAAGGGACCAGGCTTGACAACTGCGGGCAGTTTCTAACATCTGTCCCTGGAATCTTTTGCAGATTCCACCTTCCTGGGGGTGTGGAGGGGCATTGAGGGCCGGGAAGCTTTAGTCCTTTAGTCCCACGTGAGGCACCCCTGCTCTGTCCCCACACCCTTCCCTGGGAGACAGACAGACCCTGGGGCCATCTCGTCTTTGTACCCTCCTGGCTACTTCCAGAAACCGTCTGAGGAAGCACAGGGCTGGGACAGACACCAAGAGACAGGCCAGGCCAGGCCCACCACACAGGTAACCGGAACCTTTAATTTTATTACTTGGATGCGTAATGCAGAGTTAACAGGGCTGGAGCAGCTAGGAGAGGGAGGGGCGAGGGGACTACTGAGATAAATAAGGGGCACAGTCATGGTTACATGCGGACGGTGGGGCACAGGAGAGCAGGAGCGTGGGGGCAGATAACAGCTACATACTTTATTCGGATACCACAGGGCGGCGAGGGGTGGGGGCGAGGGTGGGATGTACATGGCAGGATCTCAGTGTCTTCAGCCGCTGCCCGCAGCCTGGGCGCCGGGGCCCTGCGTCTCCTCCTGGAGCCGAGGACCTGGGCCAGTTCTGGAGCAGGGAGGCTGCCCCGGTAGAGTCGAGTGAGGAAAGGGGACGCTGACCTGGAGCCCCAAGGGAAAGGCTGCATAGACTCTCTGAATCCTTTCCTGGAGCCCCTGCCTCCTCAGCTGGGGTGCCTTAAGGTCTAGGGGGTGAGGACGGGGAGGCCCAGGGGCTCACTTCGGTTAGACAGACAATGAGGTTATTGGCGCAGAACTGGGGCTGGAGGCCTGTGTGCCAGTTTCTGTCTGCATCCGGGAGGGGAGGGGGCCTTGAGGGGCTTGGACCCCTCCCATGGGATTGCTCAGAGCTGTCCCCAGCCTGAGCAACACAGGCAGCTCTGGGCTCTGATGCAAGTTCCTACCCATAGCTCTTAGGCACTGGGGCCCACCAGACCCATGCTCTCCATGGGGGGCCAAGAGGGGTGGCAAGGCCTCTGATGCCCACCCGAACCTGGACGTTACTTCCCTCTGGCAGGGCAGGCGGTCCTTCCTAGGTCCTGGGATAGAGGGTCATCTCTGGGGGAGGGCAGCCCTCATCCTCTAGGGTAGGGGTAGCTGTCACCCTCCTTCTCCTCCTCCGCCCAGCTGTCAGCCGGGGCCGGGCCTCCAGAGCTCGGATGGGGCAGTGGGTCATCAGGGCAGGGGGCTGGCGGAAAGCTGCCCCTCTGCCGTCAGCCTCTGCAGCCTCCTCCCCCGCCACCGTCAGGCCAAGACGGATGGGCAAGGGACAGGACACACAGGCTGGGGGACGGGGCAGGTGGTGACAGGACTCCCTTTAAGGCCGGGACAGCGTCGTATATACTGGCTGCTCCCAGTGTGTGGGGCTGTGGGATTGGGGCCCTGAGGGGCTGGGGTCAGAGATGGCCGTGTAGAGGGGCCGCTGCGAGGGCCCCATGTAGGAAAAGGCCGAGTAGAGGCCAGAGGCCTGGCTCGAGTGGCCGTAATAGGGTCCCGAGGGCTGATGGTCAGAGTAGTCAAACTGGGGGCGGGAGATGGAGGGGAAGGCGGAGCCATAGTGCGGCAGACTGAGGGACGTGTAGGCGATCTGTGAGGTGGACGGCTGGTCGGTGTAGTGCGGAGGCCCCTGCGGGCCTGCGGTCTCTGTCTTCACCTGGGCTTTGGTATCCACGCCAGGTGGCGAGACTGTGGGCAGAGCCACGCCCGGCGGCTTGGAGATCCAGGCGGAGTGTCCACTGGCCACAGCCAGGGCGCTGCCCAGCCCGTAGCCGGCTGCTGAGTAGCTACCCACATGGCCCG